GGGGGATACGACGAGGCGGGAGAGAGATAGAGAGAAGAGAGGGCAAGTAGGACTGGGAAGGAGAAGGGGAGGGAAGAAAAGAGGAGGGTTGACGCGAAGTAGAAGAGGATGCAGAGGACGTCGGGGAGGAGAGAAGTGGAGAGAGAGAGAATCATTTCGCGGTCAGCCCTAAACTAAACCCACCATGCTGCCGCGGATGTACACCTGCTCGAGCTGGGACACGCGCCCGTCGCGCGCCGTGACGGTGATGTCGCGCATAGCCATGTTAAGGCAGTCTTCGGCTGTAGCGTGTAAGCGCGGCGGGTTTGCGAGGAAAGCGTCAGCACATTGCACAACAACAACGCGGCTCGCTAGGCCAGCGCTCCTCAGCTTGATCAGCCTGCTAGGCGCGGCCACACCAGCATCCTGCCTGCAGCAATCACCCCGCCCACACTCACCCTCCATCAACTTGCCCCGGTACATCTCGCCGCTCTTGAGCTCGACCGTCACGACATGTCCGAGGGACTCGTGCAGGAGCTTGACGGGGACGCCGAGGTTGGCCATGGTGTGGCTTTTTGGGGCGGGTGGCGTGGGAGGGGTGGGACTCGGTGTCGGCGCGAAGGCAGACGGATGGGATGGGCGACCGAGGAGGCAGGAGATGTGGATGGAGACGAGTACAGTTGCTGCAGTTCAAGTGATCGAGTGAATGGAGAAGGATGGTACGTGGGGGCTCTGATAAGGTGCATGTTTTGGTGGAGGCTTTCCGCCACCCAATTCCACAAAAGTTACAATTAGGGGAGAAGCGCAAACTAAACAATGCCAGATGCATGCATGCAAGATCTACTGCGTCAACCCGTCGCGCGCCAATAGTGCCATCATAGCGCCTGTGACGTCGCCGCGCACGTCCGCGGCGCCGTGCGGGCTCTCGACCAGCTCGGCGAGCTGGGCGTCAAGCAGACGCCGCAACTGGGCGCAGAGCACGCCGATGCGCGTCGCCGCGCGCAGCTTGACCGCGCCGTCGCCGAGCATGATCCCCCCTACGTAGTGGTTGAGCGTGATGCGCCCGCCAAACAGCAGCAGCGCGTAGAGCGGCACGTCCGTCGCGTCGCGCAGGAACACCTTGGACGTCTCGGCCTTGGAGAAGTACGCCACGAAGCCGCGCTTCCACCCGCTCTCGCCAAAGAGCACCGACGCCGGGTGCAGGAAGACGCGGCCGCGCGCGTCGAAGAACTTGACCTCGCGCGCCTCGTGGTCTTTCTGTACAGTTCCGTGCGAGATGCGCTCAAACTGCGCTTCGGGGAGGGCGACGCGCGCGACGCGCGGATACAGCCCGCCCACGAGCACGGCTTTGACGAGGTTCGTGTCGGCGGCATTGGTGGATGCGGCCGCGAGCGCGGCCGCCCCGCGATCGAGGAAGCCGATCTGCGCAAGCGCAGCGGCAAAGTCTCCCCGTAGCGAGGTTATGTCGCGCAGCGCGCTGGGCGAGATGAAGTTCGCTTCACAAAACTTGCGCGCCTCGCTGCCCCGCAGCTTGGAGACTGCGTCGTAAGCTTTTACATCTGTGAGGAGGTCGGAGCGCGCAGTGGCAAAGCTTTCGCGCGCACGCTTCGCCTCATCCCGCCTGTCAAGCGGAGACGTGAATAGCGGCTTGGAGCTGAGCAGCGCCGCGATAGTCAGCACAGGGTCGAGGACCTTGAAGATCGTGCCGAGCACAAGCATCTTGCTCAGCCGCAAGTCGACGGGGATCATGGCCATGTGCCGCCCCATAGCGGTGAGGCGCGCCGTGTGCTTCTCGCTTTCGACGGCGCCGAGATCCACGAGCGTCTGCCACGCCGCGTCGATTGCGTCCATCTTGGGTGGGTCGAGCGCGCGACCAAGGAACGCGCGCACATCCGTGTCCTCGTCCATCGCCTTGACCTGCAGGAAGAGCGCTTCGAGCGGTGTCCGCAGGATCTCGGGCACAGGGAAGCGCGGCATGCTGTTGTTCTCCGTCCGGCGCGTGTACAGCTTGAAGCACTGGCCTGGCTGGGTACGGCCGGCACGTCCACGCCGCTGCCTCCCAGACGCGCGCGACGTCCAGCACTCCACCAGGCGCTGCAGGCCGTTGTCCGCGTCGTACTGCGTCTCCTTGACGCGACCAGTGTCGACGACATACACCACGTCCGGGATGGTCACCGACGTTTCCGCGACGTTGGTCGCGACGACGATCTTGCGCCGCGGAGCCGTCGAAGGGAACACACGCCGCTGCTCGGCCGACGACAGGTTGGCGTGGAGCGGGAGAATCTCGACCGAACCCAGCGCAGTCGCCTGCAGTTCTTGGATACACTGCCGGATCTCCATTACACCAGGCATGAAAATGAGCACGGCGCCATTACACTCTGCCGTGTCGACGATATGCTTGACCGTCGCCGCCACGAGGCCGTAGTCGATACGGTCGGCCTGCGAGATGACCTCGAGGGTGCGCACATCCTCAGTCGCGAGTCCGAGCTTCTCGTAGTCGGCGCGCATTGCCGCCTTCTGCTCCTCGCTGAGCTTGGGCCCGAAGCGGCTCGGGGTCGGCCGGTAAGACAGATTGGGCACCACGTCCTCGAGATAGTAGTCCTTCACAGGATATGTAAATCCGGGGATGGTGAGTGCGGGACAACCGCCAAAGTAATCGATGAAGATCTGCTGGTTGATAGTGGCCGACATGAGCACGACCTTAATGTGCTTGTTGCGCGCGAGCAGGTCGCGGAGGAGGCAGATGAGGAGGTCGGTGTCGACGCCGCGCTCGTGCGCCTCGTCCACGATGACATGCGATACGTCCGCGAGGTCTGTATCCCCGGTCCCCAGGCGGCGAAGGACGACACCAGTAGTGCAGAAGAGCACGCGCGTATCGCGCCCCGAGCGGTGCTCGCCGCGGATGCTGTATCCGACGGTCTCTGGCTTCGTGTCGACGTCCTCGAGCCGCTCCTGCGCGACGCGCGACGCAACACCCATAGCCGCGACACGCCGTGGCTGCGTGACGATGATATTCGTGCTTGCGCCACGACCTGCGGCGATCTCGTGGTCGAGGATGAATTGTGGGAGCTGCGTACTCTTGCCGCATCCCGTTTCGCCTACGACAACGAGCACGCGGCTCGCGTCGAGCGCACCGCAGATCTCTTCGCGCGACTTCCATGCCGGCAGCTTCTGCCGCTCCGCAAGCATGGGCGCATACGCTGGGTTAGCGAGGAGGCAGGCGTGCGCGCGCGCAACCGCCTCGTGCTCGGCTGCTGTGGGCTCTCTGCGTTTCCGTGGGGCGCGAGACCGGGCGGCTTTGCGCGCCGCGCGCAGCACGGGCGCCTCCTCCTCCTCCTCCTCGACATGCGGCACGAGATGCTTGGTCACCTGCGCGATGTCTGGCGGGTGCTCGACTACCCCTGGAAGCGCTGTTTCCAGATGCTCGGCGATGCTGAGCACCACGCCGCCCATACCCGCCTCGAGTACAGCCACGAGGTCATGCCGCTCCGGGTCGCGGAACGCGCGCAACATGTCCGCGTGCAAGTGCAGGCGCATGTATGCCGGCAAAGTCGTCGAAGAGAGATAGAAGGCAGGGGCGCGCTGCGGATACTGCGGCGACGGGTATGGCGAGTACGCGTCGAGCACGACGTGCAGTGTTAGCCGCTCCTTGCCGGCCTCGATGTCGACGGCGATCTCGTCCCCCGCGCCGCCCTCGCCCGAGACGCGACGGAAGCGCTCGCCCAACACAGCTTCGAGCGCGAGCATCTCCTCGTCGCGCCCCACTTGCCGCTCCTCGTCCTCCTCGGCCGGGATGACCTCCGCGTCGCCCCACCCGCCATCCGTGCCATGCCACCCACACAACCGGCGACCAAGCATCTCGAGCGCGAGCGACTCGCGCCCCTCAGCGCTCAGCACGCCCTCCACCGCTTTCCTGGGAAAACCCGCATCCCGCACAAGCTTGTCCACCAGCCAGCCGCGCACGAGCTGCTCCTGCCCGCCCACGCTGGCGCCCGTGACCATGTCGGTGCCGGAGGAGCCGGGGCGATACCGCGCCGGCAAATCGTCCTCGGGGAGGTGGAGGAGGAGCCACTCGATGGCGGCTTCAAGCGGCGACAGCAAGTTGAGGCTGAGAACAAGGGGGTCCGAGCTGCCGCCGGCGCCCGAGTGCAAGCGTGCGTGCGCCGCCGCGAGGGCCGAGAGGCAGCTCGCGACGTGCGCGGGGCGGAATCCGAGTGTATCGAGCTGTTTCTTGACGCTCTGCAAGTCGAGCGCGGGCGTCGCAGGCGTCGCGGCGCCGCTCGGCGTCGTCGCTCCGCTCCCGCCCATGTCTCGCGTCGCGTCCATCACCGCGCTCGGGAACCGCTTCATCATCTTCTTCACGGCGCCCTCGACCATCTCGCGCAGCGCCGGCGCCATGCGCACCTCCGGCGCGTCTTCCCACGCGCGCCCGTGCTTGCGCCCGTCGGGTGCCGGCGCCGGAGTGCCCCGCCCGCTCCGCTCGCCGCGCGCGTCCGCCTTGCTCTCCTCCACCGCGCGCTCTTTCTCCGCCCGCTTGTTCTGCCGCTCCTCCACCTCCTTCTTCGCCGCGAAGGGGTCCGCGTTCCACTCCCACTCGCGGTGCGCCGGCGCCGACGCTTTCTCCGCCATCAGCTCGGACCAGTACGGCCGGATCGCCGGCGGCAGCGTCATCGCCATCGGGAGGTGCGAGCAGAAGCGGAAGAGCGCGTACGTAGCCGCGAAGTGTTTCGCCATCGCCTCGGACTCGATCTGCAGCGGCGGGTGCGGCATCAGCCGCACCGTGTCGAGATCAAACACGTTCTTGTTTTTGCGCTTGCGCAGCGTCACTGCACCGCTATACGTCGTCGGCGTGCCCCTGTTCGCTCGCTATCGCCCGTCAGACGTGATCCACGCTTGGCGAGCACTGCGCCGCACTCACAACATCGATTATAGGCCGTTCCCATCCGGCCTTCTGACATTTCTCGTTCAGAACCGTCACAGGGCTCTTGTAGCCCACGGGAAACAGGGGTGGGGGCCGTGGTGGTTTGTCGGACTCAGAGGTGCCGCTGGCATCCTTCTTCGGATCGGGCTTGGCTTTGGACGAGTTGCCCGCATTGCCAGAACGTACGACGTTGACGGGGCGTCGTTTTGGTGGCATCCCGTGACGTTCGATGAGCGGGAAGATTGAGGTGAGCTGTTCACAATGACAACTGCTATGTCCCAACTTTTGCGCACCTCCACCTGATATAATATTGACACCTCCACTTTGCACGCAACAATGGCAACAAGGGCATATCCGCCACCTCCGTCTCGCCTGAAGTCCGGCAGCCAGATCGCTAGCATACATCACATCGCCCAGCCATCGCTCATTGTCTAGCGATTGCGCTTACGCGCGCTACATACATTGTACAACGTCGCGCCAGCCGTGTCCTCACGCTGCGCTAATCCAGAATAAACCAAACACGGACGTATAAGCAGGAGTCAAAGGCCCTCAAAGAGGGCTTTTCGGACGGCAATCGGCAAGTCACTGTTGCTGGTGCTGCCCGTTGAGCTGCTGAATGACCTGGCCAAGGGTGCCGGGCTCGAGCGGCGCAAGGTCCATGACGCCGACGCCGTCCGCCCCTGCGAGCGCTGGGTCGATATTGGACATGTCGTGCTGAATGTCGTGTTGCATGTCGTGCTGCATGTCATGCTGCATGTCGTGAGGCATCTCATGAGGCATCTCATGGGCGGAGAGAGCCTCAAGCGAGTGCACGTCGTGGTGAACCTGCTCGGCGTGGTGCATGGCCTGAGCCGCAGCGACTGCCGCAGCAGTGTCCTCGTCGAGCAAGCGCGCCTTCTTGACCTCGTCGTCGATCGCCTCCGACTTGCGCTTGCGCCCTGCCCGCTTGGGCAATTCGCCGAGAGGTGTTCCGCTGGCGTGCGCAGCTGCAAGGTGCTCTGCAAGCTGCTCTGCGCTAAGGGCACTCATGCCCGCCTGTTCGGCCTCACGCGCCGCGCGTTCGCGCATTTCCTTGGTGCGCTTCCCCGGCCCACGGCGGCGAACCTGTTCATCGTACGTGCAGGACAAGTTGCGCTTCGCACAGTGGTGGCAAGTTGGGCGATTGCCATCGCACCTGCCCGTCAGCGCGAGTCGGTGTACAGCTCTAGTCTAACTCTGGGCTACTCACTTGAGTTTGCGCCCTCGGCAGAAGTGACACGCCAACATGAGCTTCTTGGGCTTCTCAGTCATCGACTGCGGGGCAACTTGAACCTCGCCGTTCGACACCTGTTCGCCAAGAGGTACACTACTTCCGTTTCCACCGGTCATGTCTACACCGCCGGTTGCTGAAGGGTCGACAGGGTGAGCCTCGGCCCAGTTGGACAGAGTTGCCGCTACAGCGCTGTAGTCGCTCTGATCGTAGTGTTCACCTCCATGCTCAGTGCCCGGAAGAGGCATGACGCCGTTTATCTGTGAATAATCGCCAGCAAGGTGGTCGCCGACTTGGTAGTATTGCTGCTGTCCCCACTGGTCCTGCTGAAGTGGGGCGTAAGCGGCGTCGGGTTGAACGTGTTGATCAACAGCCTGCACTGCGGCAACGGTTGCGTCATGGTCATGTTCGTGATGGATGGTGGGGTCATGATGCTGCTGTGTCTGATCCTCAGTGGTCGGGGCTTGCTGAGCGACCTCCTCTTGTCCGAGTTCAAGGATGGCAGGCTCTGCCTTGGCCGGGCTTGGCGGGGACTGCTGGGTCTGCTGCTCAGCCATGGTTGCGGACCAAGGAAGGTTGGGTAAGGTGTTGTTGTGTTGAGGATGATAGGTAGGACTCCGGCCCGATGGCGTAGGAGAAGCTAAAGAAGATGGCGTAGGAGGACAAGTGATGCTCAACGCGGATGACGGCCGAGTTGCGTCAAGGAGCAAGTCGAAGCGAGGCTCACACGGAGAGTTGGGGGAAGTGCTAATATGGGGAGAGGGGCAGTAACACTGGCTATCGGCTGACAGCGGGGAATGGACTGGATGGTCTAAACGTTCTTGGCGCGTCAAGGCCGCGGGAGTGAGGTCGATGGCAGGTCGCACTGACTGTATGCGGGTCAAATGTGGATGGGGAGGGAACTGGCTCCAGAAGAGGTGGCGGCTGCGATGTAGCGAGAGATGGTGAACCTGAAGCTCGCCGCGGAGAGTGTGTCCAAATGGGATACCTGGGAGAATGTGGTTAGCGTCACAGCATGACTGGGAGAGAACAAGGGATCAGAAAACGCGATGAATAGGACATGGGGGATGGAAGATGCACAAAGCAGTGAGCGGACTGGAACTCACTAGATGGCGGATGGGAGGCGGAGGGGAAGGCGGAGGCGGGGGTGACGGGAGCAACCGAAACGTGGGAGTGGGTGGATGACTGAATCGAGCGGGGGTGGATGAGTGGAGGTGCGGCAGCCTGGTTGTATGGAGGTGGGGTGGGTTGCGATGCTCTTTGGGGAGCTGCTGCCAGCAGGTGAGCGACTGTGCAGCCGAGTAACGCGATTGGCCAAGAAGGATTGACGCGTAGGGCCAAGTGGTCGAGTGTTCGGTCGACGGATGAGGAGTGCTCGACGCTGGCGGATGCGAGGGCGGCGCCGTCGTGGGTGCTTGGATGACCTGGGTGAGCGGCGGCGGGGGCTGCTGGGGGTGGCTGTGGTGGTGGTGGATGACCACGGTGGGAAGGGTGGGAGGGAGAGAGAGAGGTTGATTCCGTCGAGTTGCGAGTGGACGGAAGCAAGTGATGCGACTCAAGTGGAGCAAGACGGTGTCCTCCTGATCCGCAATTTGCTCCCGTCAATCCTTCCACTAACAGCGGGACTAATTCCTCCCACATCCAGTCAGATCACGTAATCCCCCGTGTGTCTCGGATATTTCGGCGTTTCGTGTGTGGCTGTGGCACAGGGCTCCCCCAACTTTGTGAGTGGCGCCAACCTGAAGCGATGATGAGCAAGCGTTGTAGCGACATTGGAGGAACATGTCAGTGCGTGGCAGTGGGACCTCCCGCATTAGGTCTACCTACAGTTATAATTCCTGATTAAAATCGACAATAACGGCCGTGCGATGTAAGAACTGTTTGAGTTTAGCCAACCTCCAGAAGAAAACCAGGAACTGGGCAAACTGGTCGCCCAGCTCAAGAATGCTAGCAATGCCCGCTACTTCGGTGCGGACGCACTGTTGAAGCGTGTTAAATGTGCCCCGATATTCTCAAACTTGGTGGGGCAAAGCGTGATCGCAATTCTGTTTCGGGGGAGGCGGAAACGCAGTGCTGGGAGGAGCCGCAAAGCTGCCGCCCACTGCAGGGGGGAAGGAGGCGCGTTGAAGTGGGGCGAGAGCAACGCGAGATCACATGGTGTATACCGACATATATGGGTACATCAGAGCTAAGAGCTGGACAGAGAGGGATGCGGAACTGCACAAGAAATTTGTATTCATTCGGCGTCACATCCTCAGCGGGGAGATGGCAACTCGGTCGTGCTCCGAAGCGCGTCCGAGCGTTCCCCAGTGGACGGGCTGGTACCACTCCCGTATGGTCTGGAGTCCCCCGTTGAGCCAGTGCACGGCGCCACCTCCTGGTCAGGCAGATCGCGTCGACTTTCGGCTACTCTCAGGAGACGCTGACATGTGCCAAAGTCTGCATGTGACTTGTGCAGAACGAGGGTGCAGACAACATAGACGGTTCCATGGCCTGTCGCTGGCGCCACTTCGGACAAGTTGGCTGAGGCGCAACACTTCTAGCTGTCACGAAGGGGTGAGATTGCCGTTTGGAAGTGATAAGACTGCACCTCTCCGTGCACATAGGGTTGGTTGCACCCACATTGAAAGGAGAGGGGAACGCCATGTCCCCTTTCACCCCATCGTGGGTTTTGGCAACCCGTGTGACATCCTTGGACTGGCAGGTCACAACGTCACGACGTCACAAAGCTACAGGACCTTCTCATTACACTGACGCCTGCCCATGTAATTCGCAGGGAGGCACAAGGGCGGGTGGTCTGTGCACCAGGAATACTGAGGACCGAGAAAGAAGCTGACACCAACTTTATTCTGATTATTCGCCGCGCTGCGGAGCACTGTTCTCGAGCGTTCCTCGGCATCACTCGAGTGTCGTGAAGGCTCGGCACAGGCTTAAGCGACATCTAGAACTGTCATAAACAGCCGTTCACTCTGAAGATCTCTCGGTCCTCGCTATCAGGACACTACACTCGCCCCCGCCCTCAATGCATTGCCTCGAGATGGCTTCTCACAGCCATACGCCTCTCGCTCAGACCCATATATCTCTCGAGTTAATCTCCGTCAAGGCACAGTGGCGTCCCATTCACCAGTTACGCGCCCCCCACACTCGACAACTCCCTGTCTGGCAATAACAACACAAGTCACCTAGTGCTCATGTCCCGGTGTGAGCAATCCTGAGCATTCCACCACACACTCTCACACCCTTGGTCGAGCTAGCTCTCAGCCAAGGCTCTCGCACCAAGATATTTCACAGTCATACCCGTCGAAGAGGACAAGAGGTCTGTGCTGGATCTCTTGGAACTTACAGAATGTGATGCGAGAGTGTAGGAGGTGTGCCGGGGGTGGAACGGCTGCGATCTACTGTAGGTGAGTTGGATTAGCCGGTCACGGATCTGAGGTCGAGAGAATGGCCTGTGCGCGTACACACCCCGCCGTTACCTCTGGAGGACCGCAACCGCGAGCTTTGCCGAGTATAAGGTGTTTAGCTCGAGAGAAAGCGTAGAGACACTAGGACGTGCACACCGTGGCGCAGCTTGAAGTTGTGGTGGAACTTGTGTGCCACACACAGACAGACGCGATACGGGAGATCCTGCCCTCCTTCGCGCCACCTCCTTTTGGCAGCGGGCCGCAACGGTCATTCGGAACCCAAATCGGTGAGCTCGTTCAGTGTCTCAACATCAAAACGTCGCTTCGTGCTCGGTCAGGCGAACGATTGTGGCGAGCGGAGAGAATCGGATGTAGCCTCAGCAGTGGCGGCGACTGACATGTCGAAGGCTACGTCACTAACCCTCATCTGAGATTAGCGGCCTCGAAGCGGGATCTCCGTGTATTAGGATTACCCTCTAATACCAATTATGCCGAGTGGCGAGAGGAGCGGAACCAAATTGCTTGACTCGGCCTCGGCTCGGCGTCGTTCGACGCGCAAGTCAGTATCTGTCCCACTTGCTCCATCCGCCTTGCTCATCTCCATCCCCATTTCCTTCACTTTTTCATCTGCCGGTACCCATGTACCGCTTTTCTTCGCTGCGCAGCGTCGCGGGGCAAGCGCGTAGGCGGCTAGCGCTGCCTGCGTACACTCCTCTGCGCTTTGCGCGCGCTTACGCATCACCCTCTGGCCAGCCACGACCAAACGACAACTCGCCTACCCCGGCCGGCCTGGAGGGTGTGTTCGGCGGCGGCCCCCGCCGTGGGCCTCCCAAGGCTCCCGCTCCTCCCGGCAGCCCTAGCGAGCCGCATAAGGAGCCTGCCGAGCCTGGGAAGGACGATACGTCCGAGTGGAAAGACCGCAGACCACGCCTTTCGGACGATCCTAATAAGAAGAAGGTGGCGACTGGCGGCGGCGGAGGTGGTGGTGGTAGCGGCGGCAGCGGAGGGAGTGGTGGTCCCAACGGAAACTTCGGCGGCATGACCCCGAACCAGCTCCTCCTCGCCGTCATCTCCACCTACGCGCTGTACTCTCTCACATCGCCAGGATCTGGCAACACTCGCGAGATTACCTGGCAGGAGTTGTGAGTCTGACATACGTGAATGAGCTGACATCAGCCGCAACCAGCTGCTCGCCCGCGGTCTTGTGTCGTCGTTGGAGGTCGTTAACCGCACCAAGGTTCGCGTTCACCTGCACAACCCCATTGCGTCGTCCAATACCACCGGCTCTACATCGACCGGCTCCGGGCCACAGTCCCCGAGCACCGGCCCGGCACCGTACGTGTTCACCATCGGCTCGCTCGAGGCTTTCGAGAACCTCCTTCGTGAGACGCAGGACGAGCTTGGCATACCTCCCGCTGAGCGCGTCCCGGTCTCGTATCACGACGAGACGTCGATGCTCAACGTTGCGATGCAGCTGGCGCCAACAATCCTCCTCATGGGCTTCTTCCTCTGGATGGCGCGCCGGACATCTGGCAGCATGGGCGGCGGTGGCCCTGGTGGTGTCTTCGGCGTCGGCAAATCCAAGGCCAAGCAGTTTAACGAGGACCTGGATGTCGCCGTTCGCTTCCGCGACGTCGCTGGTATGGACGAGGCCAAGGAGGAGATCATGGAGTTTGTCAAGTTCCTTAAGGAGCCAGGAAAGTACGAAAAGCTTGGTGCCAAGATCCCCCGTGGTGCCATTCTCTCGGGACCTCCTGGTACCGGTAAGACTCTCCTTGCCAAGGCCACCGCTGGTGAGGCTAAGGTGCCCTTCTTCTCCGTCTCGGGTTCCGAGTTTGTCGAGATGTTCGTCGGTGTCGGTCCCTCGCGTGTGCGTGACCTCTTCGCCCAGGCCAAGAAGAACGCCCCAGCCATTGTCTTCATTGACGAGATCGACGCTATTGGCAAGGCCCGTGGCAAGGGCGGCCACTTTGGCGGCAACGACGAGCGTGAGTCGACCCTCAACCAGCTCCTTGTGGAGATGGACGGCTTCGGCACCAAGGAGCACATTGTTGTGCTTGCCGGTACCAACCGCGCCGACGTCCTTGACCCCGCCCTGATGCGTCCCGGCCGTTTTGACCGGCACATCGCTATCGACCGCCCGGACATCAGCGGCCGTCGCCAGATCTTCAAGGTCCACCTGGGCCCTCTCGAGCTCTCACCCGATCTGAAGATTGACGACGTTGCCGAGAAGCTCGCGCTTCTTACTCCCGGCTTCTCGGGTGCCGACATCGCCAACGTGTGTAACGAGGGTGCTCTGCGCGCCGCGCGCCGTGGAGGCGAGAACGTAACTTGGGCCGACTTTGACGGGGCCATTGAGCGTGTGATCGCCGGTCTTGAGCGCAAGTCACGTGTCCTCGGCCAGAAGGAGAAGAAGACGGTCGCTTACCACGAGGCTGGCCACGCCGTGTGCGGCTGGTTCCTCGAGTACGCCGACCCGCTCCTTAAGGTGTCGATCATCCCGCGTGGCGTCGGCGCCCTCGGCTACGCTCAGTACCTGCCGAAGGAGCGCTTCCTGTTCTCAACGCAGCAGCTGCAGGACCGCATGTGCATGACGCTCGGTGGGCGTGTGGCCGAGGAGGTCTTCTTCGGCGAGATTACGACTGGTGCGCAGGATGACTTGCAAAAGGTCACCAAGATGGCGTTTGAGGTGTGTGCCAACTACGGCATGAACCCCGACATTGGCCCTATCTCGTTCGGCAACCGCGAGCAGCAGAACGAGGGTCTCCAGAAGCCCTTCTCCGAGGCCACGGCGCAGGCCCTCGACATGGCCGTCAAGAAGATGGTCACGGATGCGCACAAGCGCACCACCGAGCTGCTCACCAAGCACAAGCCTGAGGTCGAGAAGGTCGCCAAGCTCCTGCTCGAGAAGGAGGTCATCAGCCGCGAGGACATGCACCGTCTCCTCGGCAAGCGCCCCTTGTGAGTTGCCATGGAAGACATGACTGACAGACAGCGAGAACCAGGACGAGATGGACGACTACATTGAGCAGCAGCTTGACGAGAAGAAGAAGGAGCTTGACGAGCAGACCAAGGGCGAGGGCGCGCCTGCGATGGCCATCAAGCGCACGGACATCAAGCAGCTCGAGGTTTAGGAGAAACACAGCACTCTTTTGCATAGATAGCATGCGGCATATGAACGTCTCCGATCTTGCCGCGCGTGAGGAGCGGGCTGCACTCGGCATCTGCTCAGCGTAACCACTCACCAATCTCACCCTGAGCCTCGGATGCGATTGCCGTCGTTCACTGAGAATCTGGGTTGGAGCTGGATAGGAGCTGAATAGGAGCTGGGTAAAAGCCGATCGGGACGAGATGTGATGACTGATAAGCGGGGCAAGTAACCGGTCGCTTCGTTTGCCGGCCCGCAACTAGCCGTGCCTTCTAATCATCGTTGGCCTGCTGTCGTGTGCCATGCCATGCTTGGCGTGGGCACTACATGTGTCTTTGACTATCTCCTCATCATCCGCGTCTCGCCAACATGACCGTCATCAAGGACAACACGGTGTGGGAGTATACACGCGCCGGTCGCCTGTCGGGCACCATCTCGCAGGCGCACCGTGCCATCCCCGAGCCCGGGCCCGGCGAGCTGGTGATCAAAGTCCGCGCGGCGGCTCTCAATCCCGTAGACGAGCAGCTGTACGTCGCCGTTGCCCCACACGCATCCATTCTGACAGACAGCGCGCAAGCCCCGCCCACCTTCCTCAACCTGACGGGCTGCACCCCGCCCACGCCCACGACGCCTCTCGTTCCAGGCATCGACTTTGCTGGCGTCGTCCACGCCTCCAAGTCCGCAGCCTACGCCGTCGGCGACCAAGTGTACGGCCAGCGCTTCAGCCCCGCCGGACATGGTTTCCTAGCGGAGTACGTGACGGTGCATGCCTCGGCGCCGTTCGTCAAGAAGCCCAAGGAACTTTCATGGGCAGAAGCTGCCGCCGTCCCCCTCGTCTACACGACAGTGTATGACGCGCTTGTCGAGTGGGGCCGCCTGCCTTTCCTCACGGGCGGGGGGCGGGGGCTCAGCGTCCTCGTACTCGGAGGGAGCAGCGGGACGGGACATGTGGCCGTGCAGCTCGCGAAGAAGATGGGGTGTAACGTCGTCGCAACGTGTTCCGGGAAAAACGCGCAGATGGTCAAAGACCTCGGCGCCGACGATGTACGTCTCCCACTGATGAATCTGACCACAGATCATCGACTACACGACGCAGCATGTGCCCCAAGCCGCGCTGATGTCGCAGTATGCGCCGTACGCCGTCGTGCTCGACTGTGTGGGCGGCACAGCCCTCCTCCCGCACCTCGACCACCTGCTCCTCAACTCGGCGGAACACCCGCAGCTCGGGATCTACGTCACGATCGTGGGCGACAAGACGAGCCGCGACGCCATGGGTGGCGCCGCTACTAATCTGTACACGCCGGCACAGGTTGTGCGGACAGCGCTCGGCAGGCTGAATGACTACTTGCCGCGCTGGACGCGCACCTGGACCGGGCGGAGGTACGCGTGCATCATGCTTGATCCGACGAAGGAGAAGCTCGAGACGTACGACAAGTTCTTGACGGCTGGGGGCAAGGTCATGGTCGATGGGGTGTGGGGCTTTGACGAGGCGCGGGAGGCATACAAGCGTCTCGAGAGCGCGCGGGCAAAGGGCAAGGTGGTGGTTGAGGTGTCGAAGGAGTAGGCGAGTAGTAATCGTGGTGTAGGGTGCAGAGGGTCTATACAAATCCACATGATAATGGGCCATGAGCTCACCCTCCCGACAATCGCCAAGCATCGACGTCAGTAGCCCTGCAATGCGCAGCCGGGAGCAGTGTAACATGACGGCACTACTGCTTCCTGCCGTCAGCTCGCTCGGCTGCCCACTCACGAATGTGATGGAGCGAGGTTCTCCGCACTGTTAGGCGTCCCCGCTGGCGGCTCGGCGGGGCTGGACGCCGCGCCCGCGACCTTATCGACGCTGGCCACCTTGGGCGGCGGGTTCGGCTTCTCCTGCTCGGCCGCTTTGCCGTCCTGCGTCTGCCACTCAATCACGGGCTTCGTGCCCTCCGGCGACGGGCGCAGACCCGTCACCTGCTGCAGCGGCTCGTTCCAGATATACACGCCCGAGACGACGCCTGGGGTGAGCTCGGCGCGGGCTTCAGGCCTGAGCTCAGGCTCGGCTGAGCTCGGCTGCGCTCGGCGCAGCTCACTCACCGACACCGGCGGCGAGGAGGATAGGTACAAGACGTCCGCTCATTGTGGAGTGTGAAGTAGGAACGCTTGACATCTCGGCATGGTCGTCAAGCTTCAGACATTCGGGTGGAGGCCGAATGCGGAGACGACGGCATCTCCGCCCCGCCGTGTGGTGGAGGTGAGTCAACCTGCTGGAAGGAAGGAAGGCGCATCTCGATCTCTTCAGCCTCATCTCTCTTCTAGCTTCTCGGACATGTCGGCGGCAGAGTTGGCATCATTACGGCGACAGGATAGGGAGCCAGAGCCAGCAGAGCCTGTAAGTTCTCACCGTGTAGTCGGCGCGAGTCACAAGCTCACCTCCAGCTGCTCGTCGCCGAGATGGCAGACGTGCGCCACTTCGCTCGACTTCTCCGTGGCGTCGGCCTCAAGCACGTAAGCTGTGGCTTTGAACTTGCACTCACACAGAACGCGGCCATGACTGTTTCGCAAGCCGGCTTCGAAGTGACCGTCGAGGAGGTCAAGAGTCTCTGCGCAACCGCATGGATCCCGACCAACGTCTTCGACGCGTTCAGCTGGACCGGCGAGCCGGCGTGCTTCGAGATCTCACTTGACGCGATGCTGCAGTGTCTTAACATCTTCGGGAACGCTGGCGCGGGAGGAGGAGCGTTGCCAAGTGTAGGGAAGAGGAAGAAGCGATGGGCGGGCGAAGGCGACGACGAGGAGACGGAGTGGCGTACCTCCAGAGCACGGAGCACCGGCATGCGCATGACCTGGACCGGACCGGGGTATCCACTGAGCATTATTTTGTGATTTTTCAAGACCGAGACTCGCTGACAGCAGACGCGACGATGCCAAGGGTCCCGTCACAAAGTGCGAGCTGTTCACACTTGAGCCTGAGGAGTTGATGAACCAGCCGTTCAACGACGATGAGCGGTGAGTTGCCATAAAAGCAGCAGCTGACTCCAGCGCCGTGTATCTTATCATCAAGGTGCGCATCGCTAAGGTCTCGAGCTAACAACAGGCTGAATGGTTTCGCGACGCCCTTCTTGACCTGCCCCCCTCCTGCAGCCGCGTGACGCTTCGTGTCCTCCCTCCAGAGCCGGGCGCGCCTGTAGCTGATACCTCTCGCCTGCCGCGCGATCGGTCAATGCGCCGCAACGCTGTTGGTTCATTCACGGTCTACGCGGAAGGTGACTTCGGCAATATTCAGGTAAGTTCGCTCAGCGTTAGATGCTCATGACAGTTCGACTACCCCAACGATCGCGAGGTCATGGACTCGTTTGAGTGCAGCGCCAAGTGCGAGTACAGGTGAGCTTAACAAAATCTCATCGGAGCTGACCATTAGTTATCACGCGTCACACATCGCGCTTCTGGGCCGAGCGCTGCAGCATGCGCTTAAGGTGTGTGTGCAGATTGAGGAGGGCGGGTTTCTATGTGTCCAGGTGATGCTGCCATTGCCTGAGGGGCTGGCCGAGGGCATGCACAATGGTATCCTCGAGTTTAAGGTGAGCCGCTACAAGCAAGCTGCGCGATAGCTGATCTCAGATGCATGCTCTCGAGGACGAGGAGTACGACGACTGAGACGCTCAGCGACGACTGGAAACGCATGTTGGAGAGGCAGGACGAGCTACGATTAATGCGGCTGGAAATGTCCGAGATCTGTCTGTATGTATGCATTTACGCGTCGCGCCGCTGAGAAGTATGGACGAGGTGCATATGGCTACGACCTACAGTCCACTGTCCTGGGTCAGATTCGGTCGCTCTCTAGGCTACAGAGGGGTGACATACCCACGAGATGCACTCGACAAAAATGAGACATCGGCAACAGAGACTCTCTAGAACTCAAAACTCAGAAGTTGAGCGCGTCCTCGTGCTTCTGCTTCGGCAGCTTTGCAACCTCCGGCTTGACAATCGCGAAGAGATTTTTGGCTGAATCGTTGGCAGGATTTAGCCGCAGCACAAGCTTGAGGTCGGCCTCTGCCTCCCGCCACTGCTTGAGACCCACACGCGCCGCCGCACGCTGGTATATCGCCTTTGCGTTCTTGCCGTCCTTATTAAGAATGTGCGTGCAGTCGGCCTCGGCCTCAGCATACCGCCCAATTTTGTTGAGTGCAAGAGCCCGGTTGGTGTAGTACACCGTCTTCTTCCCGTCGAGGCTGATCGCGCGCGTGTAGCAGCGCACCGCGTCCTCGTACTGCTCGTCCTTGACGAAGACGTTGCCCGCACTCTTGTCCTGCGCACCCAACTCCTCCGTCCACCGGTCCATGCACTCGGACCACGCCTTGGACTCGCGCCCGCCGCGCCGGCGCGCCGTCTGCTCCGTGAGGCGCCGGTACAGCGCCACGGGATGCACAGCCTCGAGGGCCGCGATATCAGCCTCGTAACCTGCGTATTGGAAAGGCGAGTTGGCGATGGCCACTTTGTGGAGGAGCTGGCGTCAGTGTCGTCCATGTCAAGCTTACCTTAACAAAGTGGCGAAAGGTCAGGACAATGGCTGTGTTGCGCACCCCCGAGTCGGCCTTGGCCCACTCCTCGGGGAGGTAGACCTTGCGCTCCGGCTTTTTGTTCGCCTTGGGCGGCAACTTCACGGTCTTGTTGCGACCCTTCACCCGACCCGTCGCGACTCTACGCCCGTTCTTGCTGTTGGGAACACTGACGACGCTGGCCGTCTCAGACTGGTCGTCATCCTCGTCGAGCCTCAAAGCGACCTCTAACCCCTCGAGCGCGGCGGGAGCGTTCGTGCTCGGCCCGTAGCGGCTGATCACGCTCGGATCGCCGGCACCGAGCTCTTTCAGCCGCCATCGCAAGTGCTCCTCGACGGCAAGAACATCGGTCATCTGCGGGTGAGGGAAGACCTGCGGGCGGCGTAACTCGGGCGGCGTGGGCTTCTTGGGAATGTGCACGAAGCCTTTGCCGCCCATCGAGATTTTGGCGGGCCGGTCATCTTCGTCGATGCCGATATCCAACGTTGGATCCGCATCCACGCGCCTCGCTCTTTCTTGCTCTAGTGATTCGATAGCGCCCGCCCACCCCTCCGCGACGTGCGAGTTGGCAAGGTGGGCCGGCAACAACCCCATAGGCGTCTTTCGTTGCCGGACGGCCGCATGCAAACACACCGGACAAGCGATTAGTTGACAGAGACACGCGGCGTGGTCATCGTCATCTGGTGGTGCGCCGTGTGCGGGCGCCAAGTCGTGGGTGCAAACGCCGTCGCGCGGCAAGCCCGGTGTTGTCCCCGGCGCTTGTTGCGCGCCTAGCCCTCCCGCGCCAATCGCGGCGGCCGCGGATTGCATGGCACTGCCGCCCTCGCCTCGCCCTTCTGGCAGAAGCTGGCCTGTGAGGCGTCGCTCCATCTCGAAATGGAGATTTCGAAGCATCTCTGTCATGAACAGCTTGTTCAGCTGCGGGCCACCGTGCACAATTTGTCTGCGCATGCTTTGTGGACTGGCTCCGGCGAGGATCAGCGAGATAATGAATGCCGGTATGGAGTGCGTGAAGACGTGATGAAAGGCCTCGTTCCTGCTGTTAACGGCGTCGCACATTTTACGACTCGCACGCCCGTGCGAACGCAACGCACCAGCACGACTCGACCCAGCAGTCAAACTCGCGGCGCACGAGGATGGCGAGGTCGTCAACCACGCGCGCAAGCTCTGGCTCGCTCATTCTCTTGGTGCGCGCGCTTTCGTCAGACGTAGACACGTGCTCGCCGCGCCCCGGCCAGCGGCGGTGCAGCGGGCAGCTAGGACCCGCGACTGCATTTGTGTCCTCTTCCTCGTCAGCGACGCTGCCATCGGTGTCCGAGTAATCGCCACTGTCGTCGACAACATGCACTGTTGAAGCGGGGCGAAAGGGCTCCTGATGTCGCCCGGGAAGCTGGAGGAGAGGAAGTGTGGGGGGAGGCGCGGGCTGCTTGTACTGGTTGGCAGCGGCCGCAAGAGACTCAGGCGTCATCTCTGGAAGGACAGGAGGAAAGAGGGAAGCACTCGCTTGCAATGCGGAGAGCCGCAAATGCGCGGGTGGACCTGGCGGCATGGCTGCAATGGCCCGCGTCTGGCGAGGATTGCAGGTGGTCGAGCGGAAGAAGAGTGGGAGAAGTGGATGTCACTTTCGGCGTTGAGCGGCGACGAGCGGGCTGGAGGCGATGGCGTGGGGAGTGGAATGCACGGCGACGGGACTATTTTCATCAATTACACGCCTTTCAACGCCACGTGGTGAATCGTCTGTTGTCACCTCCAACCTCGCGTTCGCGTTCGATACTCCCAACTCGCACTCTTCCATCCACATCCGCATCACATCCGCCCCCGCGCTGCATCTCTCGGCTCGAAAATGGTATACAATGGAGGTGCGTTTCTTCTGTGTCTGAGGTCCGAGTTCTGCGCATCGCATAACTATGTTTTGGCCTGGGATAATGCTCACAACAGACGAGGTGTCGGCTGTCGTCGTCGACTTCGGTTCGCACACTACGCGCGCAGGCTTCGCCGGCGAGGATGGGCCACGTGTAGTGACGCCGTCGTTCTACGGGTTCCGGGACGAGGAGGAGGGCGAGCCCCCTGCGACAAACGGCGATGGTGACGACCCGATGGAGGGCGACGCCGAGAAGAAGATGGGCAAGAGGAAGTACTTCTTCGGCGACGACGGCGTGGGTGTCTGGCGCAAGGACATGGAGGTTGGGAGCTTCATGGTGGATGGCATCGGTGCGTTTCACTCTGCCTGAACGGCCGATTTGGCTGACGGCAGTTAATGATAGCGAAGCCGCGGGGCAAATGCTGTCCTATGTCCTGCGGAAGCGGATGGGCGTCGACCCGACTGAGCACCCGCTCATGCTGACCGAGCCTGCATGGAACACGCCTGCTGCGCGTGAGATGCTCGCACAGCTTGCATTCGAAGGTGAGGGCGTCCCAGCCCTCTACTTCGGCTCGGCTGGTGTCCTCTCGGCCTTCGCGGCGGGCAAGCCAACTGCGCTCGTCCTCGACGTTGGATACGCCAACTCTTCCACTGTTCCTGTTGTGGATGGTTACGCGCTGCGCGCGGGTACGATGCGCCAGCCGCTGGCATCGAGCCTCATCCTTGCTCAGCTTCAGCACCACTTCCAGACACCGACACCAACGCGTTCTTTCCCCCTCTCTCTGCTCCCTCGCCAGCTTATCGCTAAGCGCGACACCTCGGTGGAGCCCGGAACGGAGCCGCACCCCGGCCTTCGTGAGGATCGGGCGGCGGGTACGACTGCGTCGTGGCGCGCGTGGGCCGAGCAGGGCGTCGTGGAGAACTGGAAGGAGGCGTGCTCTGAGCTCGTCAGCGCCCGCGGCTTCGATATCCGATCCGCTACCAACCTCCCCCAAGTCCTGTACGAATTCCCAGACGGGTACCAGCAGTACTTTGGCGAGGAGCGGTATCGCTTCACTGAAATGCTCTACGACCCTAAGAACTACTTTGACCAGGTATGTCCACCTGCAATCCTTTACCTAATCAACAGTCGTACGAGCCGCCGGCGCTGCTGCGCGCTACACCGTCGGGCGACCACTCACATTCGCTCAAGGACGCTGTGCCGCTTTCGCAGCTTGTGCATGACAGCATCATGGCGTGTGATGTGGACGTGCGCGGTGCCCTGTTGCAGAACATCGTCGTTGTCGGCAACACCAGCTTGACGCGTGGTCTGACTGAGCGCCTGGATGTCGAACTGGCCAGCCTCTTGCCCAGTGTGAGTCATCAGTTGTCATGGGCAACATCAGCCAGCGTCTCGGTCCAGCTGACAGCAGCAAAAAATTAAGATACACTCGCCCTCAATTCCGTACGAGCGCAAGTACTCGGCCTGGCTTGGCGGATCTGTGCTCGCCTCGCTCGGCACGTTCCACCAGCTCTGGGTGACCAAGGACGAGTACGAGGAGCACGGCATGAACATTGTGCACCAGCGGTGCAAGTGAGCTGTGGTAGTGGTATGTGTATTCCTATTCTGTAGACGGTAGATGCAAGGTAGTGCTAGGCAAGATACGTTGCGTCCGAGCCATCGTATGGATCCCAACAAGTTTCGAGGGCAAACTGCTCTGGACCGACCTCGGCAGCATACTCTTCGGGGTCAAGGAAGCGGACTCGCTCGCTCACGAGTCTAAGAATGACCGGCACGGGCACCCAGCGGTGGTTCGCCAACCTGGATCGCAGCATAGTACGCACGACTGCCCGCCCAATGTCGAGCGACGGAGCGTCGCTCAGGAGCCCGAAGTTGCCGGTGATTGCGCGCTGCCCCCCGACGAAGGTGTATCGCGCTGGTCGACGAGACAAGGCGGGGTGGATAAACGCATCCTCGGACTCAACAAGCCATCTGAGCCACTCGCCGTCTTCTTCCACGTTTACCTCCGGATCCGGACCCCATCCTAGATCAATGTCCCGAGCTGCTGTAGAACGCGCCCACCGGTCCAGCGCAAGCATGAAGTCTCCCACCAGCGTGTCGCGGAAGAGCATTCCCACTTCCTCCCGCGCGTCAGGGATTCCTGCCCGCTTCGCTCGCCCAGGCAAACTCCCTTCGGCGAGGAGATGTACGACATATTCGTCTGGTCCGGCCTCGTACCGCTCGAGCCGGAGATGAGGGATGCGACGGTGGATGCCCCCGTCGACAGCGAGGCAGACGCGGCGCATCGTCGGAAGCGCGTTGAGGTCTCCCCTGCCGTCTGGGGCGAAGACGATCAAGTCTGGCAAGTCGGCGCGGATGTGCAACGCTTGCCCGTTCGTGAAGCTGTCCCGCCAGCCAGGGAGGTACACTCGCACGCTGTGCGCCGAGAGCGCGCCGCCTGCAATCGCGTCCTCGAGCGCGTGTCGCGGCGCAAAGCTAGCGGGATAACCAAGATAATGCTGCTATTAGCCAAGAAGGGGTGCGGGGCGCACAGTATCCGGTCCCCAGACTATGTCCACCACTTGCGCACGCTTCACCATCTCTGCAGCACCACTCTCCGGTGCGCCGAAAGATGCAGGTGCGTCGGCATGCGCCCGGATCGTCCTTGGAAGCCAGGTCTTGGGCTGCAAACCGAGCGGGCCGGCGAGCACGGGGTCGTCGGGCGAGTTGCCGAGGTGCAGCCGGACATGATCTGAGAGGAGGCGGTCCGCGCGCTCCTTCAAGTCATGCGAGACGAGCCGGAGGGTGCGCAGGGTGTTCCGCGACAGATGCAAAAGGATTTCGTCCACCAGTGTCGGGAAAGAGGAGGCGTCCATCGGGATCAGTCAAAATGAGGTGAGATGAGGTGTGGTGAGAGCTGCGTGAGATGCGGAAGCTGTGTGTGTCTGGTGACGACATCTCTGCGTTGGCCATCGGCAGAGGCCGATTACAGTGGACAGCATGCCATGGCGACGGCTCTGCAGTGCTTTCAAACTGCTCTTACTCGCGCTTTCAGTCCGAGAGCAGCAGCATGGTCTGATGTTCTGATCTGTCTAATCCTCTCCTAGAATTAAATGTTGACGGAGCCGCGCTGTGATTGTCGCCACTCACCTGCGATTCGCCACCCCAGGATCCAGTCACCTCAGGCACAAACATCCGACTTTATTAAGCAACACATCATCCACAACTACTCGTTAGGCGTCATGGCGTTCGCAGAACTCAGCGCCGAGCTAGGCATTCGCGCCGGTCGCGCACGCTTTGCTCGGGGAACAGCGTCGAGCCCCATATCAGTGTCCTCCGCCATATCGTCTCCCTCGTCGCGCGCTGGTACGCCGTCGCCACCTTCCCCTGCCGACTCGCCGTCACCTCCTCGCATCTCTTCTACCCCTCCTCCTCCAGTCAAGGCTGCGGCGTCTGGCACTGTCTTCGCTCCCTCTACTCTCACAGCTCCGACAACGCCGTCCCGCATTCGCGCCGTTCCCGTGTATTCGCCACTCGCCGCGACAGCCAATACTCCTCCGCGCACGCCAGGGAGAATGTACAAGGTCCACCCCTTTTTCGCGCGTCGCGCCGCACCGACGCCGAACCAGCCTCGCTGTGTTGCGGACTACACGAGTACCAGCGAGAGTGGAACGAGTTTTACCGAGTCTGATTCTCTTTCTACCCTTGGCTCGCCGCTGGACTCCCCACACTCGCCGCTTCACGCTCAATCTGCACCAGTGCAGTTCTCACCAATACCTCCGTCCCGCGCCATAGCTCAGGCAGCACCGGACGCAGCACCGGAGGATGCAACAGAACGACGGGCCCAGCGTTTGCTGGCCGCTATAAAGGCGCGTAAGGCTGCGCGTCTGACCGCAGAGACAGAGCGGAGACAAGAGGCTGATGAGATTGTCGAGGGGATCGCCGGCCTCGATCTCAATGGCGGTCCAAAAGTTGCAACGACGGATCCTGGCATGTCCACACGGTTTGCGGGAGACGTTTTTAGCGAGACCGAGACGACCAAGGCCGAGGCGACCGACCTCGACCAACGGCGGTTAAAATCACCCAGACCTAGAGTCGAACCCAGCGAAGCGCCCTACTTTTCTCTTTCCCGCCCATTACCCGGCCACTTTGATCGCTCGCCCATCGTTGTGTATACACGCGACGCGAGCGAGGCTGACGATCTCGTCGGTTGCCTTCGCGGCCCCCTCGGCTTTGATCTCGAGTGGCCTCCCCCTGGCATCGGACCGGTGCTGACGCGCCGCAACAAGGACGGGAGTGTCAAGCACTACCGTGCCGGCAAGTGGGACCCGCTCGCGAGGAGGATGGTGTGGCCGCAGGGTCGCACTGCAGTAATCCAGATAGCGGACGAGCGCACTATCGTGGTGTATCATCTGCCGATCAACGGCGTCCTGGGGCCCGGAATCAAAGCGCTGCTAAACGACCCGACGCGCCTTAAGCTCGGAGTCAACATCACTATGGACGCCCGCAAGTTACACCGGGACGAGCTAATTGAGAACACGGCCGGGTTGCTCGATCTGTCGCACATCGCGCACCTGGTCGACCCAGATGTCTGGACGCGCTCCGCGCGGTTGATTGCTCTCGCGCGGCTCACGCATCACTACCTCGGCGTGCCGTTGGATAAGAGCGAAGGCATCCGCGAGGGCGCGTGGAGCAATGATCTCAGCGCCGAGCAAGTGGAATGTACGTTCGAGCGCGAACTGGCCTGACGTCAGACGCAGCCAACGATGCCTTCGTTGGCGTGCTGCTTTACAAAGCGATGGTTCGGCGCGCGGCTGAGCGTGGGCTCAGCAGTCAGCTCGCAAAGCTGGAGGGGCAGATCACAATCCCTCAGTTCCCCTCGCCGTCATTACAGCTGGCTGAGCACACAAAGGGTCACCCAGCCGTCGTGGCGGCTACACAAGCTGGCGCCAAGCCGAGACACACACAGGCACTCAGTCTCTTCATTGCCGGCGGGAGTGTAAGCGAACTTGCGACATCACTCAACCTCTCTACCCGCACGGTGCAGGGCTACGTCGCAGAAGCGGCGTTGCTCATCCCTCCTGACCAATACGAGGGTTATGGCGAGCTGGCCGTGCGTCTGTGCGAAGCGTTTCCCATGGACTCGTACCCCGCCGTCCGGCATGTCGAGTTCTTCTCCAAGCTCCGCCGCGTCGCAAACGCCTTCGACCATGAAGAGCGCGTCCCGGTGCATGAGGTGCACGAGTACGAGTGGGGGCCTGACTACTAGCCAGAGTGGACTTGACAAAACTCGGGCGCACCATGGCACGCCATTACATACACTGCATAGCTACTTTCTGTACCATGAGCATGACTCAGCTGAGAAAACTCACCTACTCCGCCTTGCGTCCCCAAACGACCTTCGTGGGCACAGCAGTGCGGCCGTCGATCCGCCCAAATGCAGGAACGGGCTCTGTCTCGACGCTCCCGATGTCCGTGAACCCATACTTGCGGAAGATGTCCTTAGTGTGCTCGACAGACCAAGTCTCGCGGAATTCATTGCCCTTGATGTGGTAGCTGTCGTCGTTCACGGGGACGAGCGAGCTGTCCATCTCGCAGTGGAAGCGCTTGCTCAGGTCCTCTCCTTCAGGGCTGTGCGCGAACTCGAGCACATAAAACATGCCTCCGGGGACCAGCACGCCGTGCACGCCGCGGAAATAGGCTTCGAGGTCGTCGACGTGGTGCGCGACGAGCGTCGAGACCGCAAGGTCGAAGCGTGCGCGCGGCGGCGCGAGCTTGCGCTCGGGGTCCTCGAGCGTGGGCGAGGGCATCTCCTCGCCGCGCGCAAACATGTCCGCGGACGCGGGCGAGAGCGCGTGCTCGGCGTACGTGACGTTCGGGAGGTCTTTCACGAGACGGCTGAGGACGCGGAGCATGTTCCCGCTCGGCTCGAGGGCGTGCACCGAGCCAAACGAGCCGAGGTGCCGCGTGACGGTGCCCACGCCCGCGCCGACCTCGAGGAGGTTGAGGTCGCGGAACGTCGAGGCCGGGACGCCGGACGCCGCCACCGCCGTCTGGATGTTGCGCGCGTTCGTCTCCGCGCTCTCCAGGTGCCCCGGTCGGTTGAGGTACTCGTCGCCGTTCCAGCGGTCGTCGGACATGGTGCTTGTGGAGTGAGGTGGTAGATGGAGCGCCGTGCGTCAGCGACGCGAGATGGGCTGGGGTGGCCGGGGTGGGCAAGGGGCACAAAGGGGCCCCTACGCGTCCGAATCCCGAGTAGCCGAGATGTAATCTGAACAAGCTCCGAGCGCGCGTGCGGGTACTTGCGATGCCAGGCTGCCGCGCTGTTGCCGTCCTAAGCCGCGGAATCGATATCTGTCGAGTTGGGCAGCACCGCATCACCGCGGGGCTAAGAGGAGGCGACTCCGCACCTGCCCCACACTTCCGCATGAGTTAGATCGGCGACTCGTCCCTCAACCAACTACTACTATCCCCATTACCTCATCAACAGAGCCCATCTGATTTCCACCATCGGCTCCCCTTCTGAGGTGCCCAGTAGATGCAGAGGAATGGCAACGGGAAAAGCCAAAAGATTATCTGACCACTGACAGGATCGAACTGCCGACCTTTGCATATCAGGCTAATACGCTCGTCGTATTAGTACAATGCTCTAACCAGCTGAGCTAAGCGGCCGATGGAAGTTAGTGATCTGGCTGCGCTCAAGTCGCGGGCGCCGCAGGGATTTGCAGTACGTCTGGCGACGACTGTATCTTCTGAGTGAGCTTTAGAAGCATTGGAAGAGGTGGCTTGGGGGAGATAGCGACAAGGGGAAGAGTTGACTGTTTCACCCGTCGCCGTCGTGAAATCGAGGGATGTCCCAAGAAGGGCCGCAGCTGAATGACAGTGGCCCCGTAAAGTAAGGCCACTGTACTCCGCTCAGCTGCCAAATAATTCTGTCACATAGCATGCGAATACAATTTGAGGCGATGCTCCGCGACCCAGCACACAGAGGAGCACTCCCAGTACCACAGGCCCTGAACTTGTTGAGCCAGTAAATGCGTACATTGATCTAGAGAGTCATCTCGAGGTCCCCGCTACCCTCGCTCCCGCTCTCCTCTCCGTCCTCCTCCATCGCCTCAACGCTCTCCTCCTCCCCATCCTCCTCGTCCTCCTCGTCCTCCTCGTCCTCGCTCATGCGCGCGCGCTCCGCCGCGTCAACCAGGCGCGCCCAGCCCTCCTCCATTGCCGTGGCATCCTGAACTTCACGACGTGCCGTCTCGATGACCACGTGCGCGTCCCGCCCGCGCCCGATGTCGAGGAGGTGCTCGGCATATGTGAGAGCGGCGGTGACGCGGTCCGCGTCGGAGCGGCACGACCCGCGCCACGTGCGGTAAAGGTGCGCGGCGGCATCCTCCTTGCCCTTGCTCTTAACCATGTGTGCGCCTGCGTCGACAAGCACGTCGAAGGCAGGTGCGAAGAACATGGGCGTGGGGTGGTAGCCGCGCACGATCTTGTTGAGGGTCTCGCTTGGGTCCGCGCCACGTGCCAGCTCGGCGGAGAAGTAGGCCGCCAACATCTGCGGGTGCAGCGCAGCCACACTGGCGCGTACCGACGCTGCGAGAATCCTGTTCCACGCCTTCTCCGGCTCGGTGGTGTGCTCGTCCTCGAACTCGGCCCATGCCTGCCACACCGCCACGACGGCCTCCTGCTCCTCGTCCGAGAGGCCGGGGCGCACGATCGCCTTCGCGGTCTCGGCGCAGACGCGCAGCACCTCGTCCTGGTCCTCCTCCCCCTCGATTTCGGCCTGCACGCGAGCGAGCGCGAGGTCCGCGTTCTCCGGGTGCTGTGCAGCGTGCGAGCGGGCAGTAGCGAGGTACGACTCGAGGTCGTGCTTCTTGACGAGCTCCAGATGCCTCAGGAGGAGTGAAGGGGGCGCAGCGAGCGACGGCTTTGTGAGCGCCTTAAGAGTCGAGAGAAGATAGCGTAGCTGCCGTCAGTGGATGCAACAAGGCCTTGACCCACCAAGTCCTCGTTGTCCTGAGTGTCCGCTATCCTTTCGGCGAGCCATGCACCAGCAACGTCGGCCCACTCTGGTCCAGCCTTCTTGGCGGCGCTGCGCATTTCTTTCCCGATGGCGCCGAGCGCCTCGACAAGTTCGACGCCCTCAAGCACGATACCACCCGTTTCCTCCTGGCCAGCCTCGTATGGACGATCGTACAGCGGTCGGGTGAGCAGAGCGAGACGTGCGCGAGCGCCGTCTCTCCCGCCGTCGGCGGAGATCCGCTCGAGGTCGGCATACACGACCCCCAATGCCTTCTTGCGCAGCGGGCTGGGGTACCGGCGGAGCATTTCCAACAACCCCTCGCGGAACGTCATCCCATCCGCCGCAGTGGCTGGATCAGCGCCCGCATCCCGCCCCTCATCGCCTGGGGGAACCTTCTTGAGCGCGGTCTCGAGGGCGTGCACGACCAGCTGGCCTGAAAGGATGGCGCGGCGGGCGTCCTCGCCTTCGGGCCCAAACGCACCATCGCCGCCGACGAGCGCATCCACGTCTCCGTCAAAGTCGACGCCCTTCTTGTCCTCCGTGAGGCCAAGAACACGCCACCGGCGGCGCAGCCCCTCGACCCAGCCGAGCTCGAGCTTGGCGTACTCTCGCCACAATGTGTGGCTCTTCGGCAGCACACGCAGACCGAGAAGAAGCGTTGTGCGTGCGGGGCCAGTGCCCTCGAGGGAGAACCCCGAGGTAGGCTGCCTCTGCTGAGGAAGGTCGAGAGGATTGGCGCTCGAACCGGGAATGGCACCGCGCGGGAGCGGGTCTCCGGGGTGCAAGTGGTGGTGCGCGAGGAGGAGGTAGAGAGTGGGGGAGAGAGGGTGATGCTGGAGTGCCGAGGTGAGACCCTTGGCAACGACCTTGGTCATTCCCTGGTGCGCAGCGTACTCAACGTACGCTAGCCACACCGCGAGGTCGCCCGGAAACTTGGCCGTCGCCCGCTTGAGGATGTACAGTGTCCGGCGGGGGATCGAGTATGTTGACGCGCTCGGCCCTGGTGGGTTCACGTGGTACCCGCACTTCTTCCAGCGCACCTTGCGGAGACGCTCAAGGTTGATTTCGTACTCGGCATACTTGAAGAAGTCGTCCTTGCGAGTCTTGAGACGAATGAGCGATGTTTCGAATGCAGTGCGACGCTTGGTGATCTGATCGATCTCGTGCTTTGAAAAGAGGCCCTTGTCGTAGAGGTCCTTGAGCTCTGGGAGCGTCTGCTCGAGCTGGAACTGGACCTTGTCCATGGCCGCGGATGTGGATATTGTTCAGATCAACAACAGGACTTGGACTGGATGCGACTGGGATCTTGGAATCTGCGGAACTGCCAACTTTTGTGGAATATATACGTGTCATTGACAAATACACGCGACTGACACGTGTTTGATATCATGGTACCCGAGATCGGGTTCCTGGCGTGGGGGATTGTGGGGTATGCCACATGATCGACCTCGGTCCTCCTTGACCCGCGGCTCCAAGCTGCGTTGATCACATCAGCAATCAACGATGGCGTCGCACCTCTAGCATCTCTGTGAGGAACGTAATAATCCATGTAATTTATAGACGGTCGGCCCGCTCTAGTCCCACTGGTACAGGCACAGGCGCTCGTCTGGAACAGCCAGAGTGTGCAGAGGGTTGAACAAGAGAACATGATCCGGTGTTTAACCCCGGTCCGAGTCTTTAGCCGGCCACCCGCTTCGGCTATACCTGTCACTCTCTGCTCCCCATCCACCAACCATCTCGCGTCCTCCTGCACTCGTCGACTTGCCTGCCGCCGCCCATCACCCGCCCCCTGCCCACTGCAAGCCGCCAGCCCCGTGCTCGGCCCGCCAGATCTCGTCAAACGTCTCTAGAGTAGGGTCGCCCCCAGCCAAGGGGTGGGGACCCACGCTCACCGGTCTCTACGACGCTCGGCCCATCGTGCCCGGACCGACCTCTCCCCACTCCGACGCCAGCTGATGGCAATCGCAAGGCGCCCGCAGCTCGATCCTACTTAAGCACAGCTCTTCCCCATCCGCCCCCTCATCATCCCCGTCCGTGCCAAGCCAACCCACTTTCTTTCACGTACGTCGTTGTTGCATCTCCGCGTTGCCGCCAGCTCGCTTGCTCGCACACCTTGCCCCCTTGCTCGCCCCCGCCCGCGATACACCCCCGACTGACACCCAGGGGACAGCGCCTCACCACTCTTCATAGCACGGGCGACCATCTGTAGCTCTCGGCGAGCTGTCAACTCGAAAACTCACTCACACACACTCCCCCTCTCCTCCAGCCCACACCCTTCACCCATCAGCCCCGTTTAGACCATGCCATTCACCTCCGACTACCCCGACGTGACGCTCCCCGAAGTCGGGATCTTCGAATACCACTTCCCCGCAAACCCGCAGTTCGACCCCGACCTCCCCGCGTTCATCGATGGTATTGACGGGCGCACAATCACCCGCCGCGAGCTGGAGGACGGCGCGCTCCGCCTGGCCACCGGGCTCCGCAGTCTCGGCTTGAAACGTCACGACGTGGCCTGCATGTTCGGCCTCAACTCGCTCGAGTGGGTCCGTGCCGCCTACGGCTGTATGGCCGCGGGCATGACCGTCTCGCCGGCGAACTGGGCCTACTCGCCCAAAGAGCTCGCGCACCAGATCAACGACTCGGACGCGCAGATCATCTTCATTGCCCCAGACTTGGTGCCCAAGTTCGACGAGACGAGGCAGTACCTCAAACGGTCGTTCCCCGACTCGCGCGTCGTCCTGATGGCGACAAAGGAGAACCAGCCGATCGTGAAGCGCTACAAGGTCGTCACTGAGCTGTACGGCACCCGGGGCAAGCCCGAGCGCTTCTCGGGGAAGCAGGCGTACGAGACGACCTGGCTGTGTTACTCGTCCGGCACGACTGGCCTCCCCAAGGGCGTCATGACCACCCACCACAACTTCACCTCGCAGCTCCAGGCCCTCAAGGTCGCGTGCCAGCAGCTCACGCCGCAGGACGCGATGCTGGCCTTTGTCCCTCTCTCCCACACGTACGGCTCGACCATGGTCCTGCAGCAGCCCTTCTCGATGGGCTGCCCCGTCGTCCTTCTGCCCAAGTTTGAGGAGCAGGCTGCTCTCGCAGCAATCGAAAAGTACAAGATCACGCACGGCCTGATCGTGCCGCCCATCGTCATCGTGCTGCTCCACTCCGAGCTCGTGCCGAAGTACGACCTCCGGTCGCTGCGGACGCTGATGTGCGCCGCGGCGCCGCTCGGCGACGAGCTCACCAAGGCCTTTGAATCAAGGTTCCCGAACTGCGTCGTGACCCAGGGCTACGGCCTGACCGAGACCACGCCCATCATCACCTGCTTGACGGGCGAGGAAGTTGTGGGCCGGAGTGGATGGGTCGGGCGTCTGCTGCCGACGTACGAGGCGCGCCTCGTCGACCCGGACGGGAACGACGTCACGACGCCGCTGGAGCGCGGCGAGCTGTGGGTGCGCGGGCCCTCCGTCATGAAGGGGTACCACAAGAACCCGGCCGCGACGGCGAACACGTTCCACGACGGCTGGTTCAAGACGGGCGACGTGCTCATCCGCTCCGAAGACGGGTGGTACAAGGTCGTGGACCGCGTCAAAGAGCTCATCAAGTACAAGGGCTTCCAGGTGCCGCCTGCGGAGCTTGAGGCGCTGCTGATGACCCACCCCAAGATCAAGGACACGGCTGTGGTGGGCATCTACGACAAGAGCCAGGCGACCGAGCTGCCGACGGCGTACGTCGTCGTCGGCAGCGACGTGGACACGAGCGACGAGGGCCGCGCCGCGTTCGACAAGGAGATCCAGGCGTGGGTGGCCGCGCGCGCCGCGCGCCACAAGCGTCTCGGCGGCGGCGTGTGGATCGTCGACGAGATCCCCAAGTCTCCGTCGGGCAAGATCCTCCGTCGCTTCCTCCGCGACAAGGGACAGGCCGAGCGCGACGCCCGTGTCGCCCAGGGCGTCCAGGCCAAGCTCTAGTGTGGGAGGTCGGTTGCATATGGTATGGCATAGGAGATCCAGCGCCGCACGCAGCGGCGCCAGGTAGTTGTAGAGCAGGTTTCCACGAGACTCGATATACTCTGGGATGCATCGATCTGAAGTCAAGTTGCAGAAGTCGGCAGCGGAAGAGCGAAGTGATGCAGAAGCCAAGTTGCTTCAAGGTGCAACTTGCGGCCGACGCCACGCTGTCGAAAACACGTCGTGTAAGCAGTGAGTGGCATAAAGGGCGCAGTACGAGCATGTGGAAGTACTGTACATGCATGTCGTAGGCTGCGTGGCGCACACTTGGATCCAACTGCGTACTGAGCGTCTAACTAGCATCAGCGCAAGCCGCCCGACAGACTCACTTAATCCCGCGACTCCGTCGCCCAGCGGTATCCGGCATACCCGACGCCAACGCCGACCGCGAGCGCGAGCACCCCACTAGCCCCATAATATGCACGGTACACACGCGCAAAGCCAGCGGGCATGCGGCCCGCAGCCTCCTCCGCGCCGAGGTAGGCGAGGAGCGCGCGCTGGCTGCGCGGCGTCTTGCCTGCGCGCGCGGCCGCGTTCAGCTCGGAAAAGGCGAGCGCGTACGAGCCCATGCGTTCGCGGACGCCGTGTGGGGGCGGGGTGGGTTTCGGCGGCGGCGTGGTCATGGTGCGGATGGTGATGAGGTTGGGCGTCGGCGGCAGTGAGGGGAGGGGAGGGGGTGTCACGTGATCCTCTCTGCGCGGATCCACATGGCCTCGCGAACTGCAATGTGGGATAAGCCAAACACGAGGCATTCATATACAGTTGGCATTCTAGATACATGATTAAACTGCAAGCGTGTCCGTCTGTGAGCGCGGGCGGCCGGGCGGGCGTGCGTTACTATGTGGCGTCTGCAGTCTGACGATAATGCGGCGAGTGGACTGACGCAACAGAAGAGCGTCGAGCCGCAGCTTCGGCGACTGACTGCGGGTTTGCGGCGACGCCAGCAGGCGGCCCTACCACGACGCGCGTATAGCTTAGAGTACCCTTCCCGGCATATCCAGGTTGAGCGATATGCGCACGCCCTAGTCCGAGTCGTCGCGGTCGCCGAGCCGCCGAGGCCTGGGATAATCGATCTTCTCGCGCTTCGCAGGGGCGCTCGCACCTGCACCGGAGCCTCCACCTCCCACAGAGCCAAGAAGCGAGCGCCCGTGCCGCGCAACAGGAACGAACACGAGCGCGCCCATGACGAGCACGAGGAACGCGATGCTCAGCTTGTGCAGCCGATCGAGGGTGCGCAGGCCCTCCGGGCCTTCGGGGGGCATGCGGCCCGCCGCGACCTCGGCATCCATCATGCGGACGGTCGCGTCGGTGTCGTAGCCAGCGGCGCGGGCGCGCTGGCGGAACTGCATGACGTACGCTATTGTCTCGGGGGTTGTGGTGGGGCCGGGGGTCGGAACGGCGTATGTGCGGATGAGGGAGGAGGTGGGTGCCGGGGCGAGGACGCGCGTCCGCGCGCGCAGTGGCGCTCTCGCTGATGATCGGAGAGATCGGAGGGCTCGTGACGGGAATGTCATTAGGTGATATGTGGCGAGATGGTGAGAGATGAGAAAGTGCGGAGAGGCTGAGGAGAGACTCAGGTACTCCAACATGAGAATGTGGAGGTGTCGGCAGTCACGTGAGACCTAACGAGACCCGAGTCCGCTCGGTGCTCTCGGGCCTCTCCAGTCCGTCCGAGCGCGGCGAAGACGCGATAATTATGCATGAGATGTGCGGCGTGCTATGCAGTGGTGTCTAGTGTATGAGCCCCAGGGCCCTCTACGGTCAGTGCTGAGCTGCACGACTCTCCTCTGGCTCGTCCCATGGCCTGCGTGCGAACGGCGTCAGTCCGGCAGCCAGCGGCGCAGGCAGGACCTTGAACGCAGCCCAAGCCGTTGCATCCTCGAACCACCCGAGAACCGGCAACCTGGAGAAGCTGCGTCGCGTTCGTTCCTGCAAGTCAGCACTCCTCAGCTCATCAGGCTCACGGATGAATTGATGATGAATGCGGCGTGGAACGCCCACTTCAGCCTTGCGAATGCGACTCCCCCGCCTGCCTCTTGCACGATTCCCACCACGCCGAAGAGGCTCGCCCGCCCGCCCCACTGCAGCCGGCCTTGCGCGTCCGAGACAAATGCCGGGTGCTGGTAGACCATGATCTCGTTCATGGTCCACTCGTTGCCCTTCCACAGCAGGAGGAAGAGGGGGAGGTAGCTCACGAATTTTGCGGTGAGGGGCGGGAGGCGGGGTGGGCCAGCATACTTGAATGCGTGCCAGGCACGGCGAAACCGGCCTGCTGAAGCGTCGAGAGGAGGAGGAGGGGGGAGGCCACTTGGACGGCCATGGGTGAAGAGCGAATCGTACGGCCGCCGCGGCGTCGCTGGAGGTACCGGCACCGCTTGACGCGGCGTAAAAAGCGAGTCGTATGGCCGCTTGGGCGGCGGGCGGGGCAGCTCTGGCTCAGACATGGTGTGGAGTGATCAAGGAGGCTTGCTGTGTGGACTTGTTCAAGTGGAGGTCGTCGCCCTCGCGTGGCAAATTACGTGTCCGCAATGCTGCCCATGTGCCTCTCCTCGCCGCCGTTCAATACGCGGCTGTCAGCTGCACAGCAGCCTCTCTGGGGCAGCTGGGAATCACATATAAACACTCGACTACCCATCATCATCCATCATGCGCGTTGCCCTCCCTCTGCGCCAGGCGCGCCGCGAGGTGCACGGCATGATCCTCGTCTTCCGCGAATCTGCTACTGCCCCATCCCCCATCCGCTCCCACCCAGGCGCCCCCGTGCCAAGCGACACCAACCCCTTCGCACGCGACCCGCCGTCGCCACCAGAGCAAGGCCAGACACCATCGGGCCTCCCTGCATGGCACCTCAAGTCTCGAACACGGCAGGTGGGTAGCAGCCGCTTTGTCGACTACGAGCGCAAGCAGGCGCCGGTGCCGCACGGCGTGCCACCAAACTTCCCCGACGACCAGCTCGAAGGCAAGCGACGGCTACCGGGCTGGGCGGTGTGGTTTGTCGGCATATTTGCCCTGAGCATCATCGAAGACATTGTTGTCGCACGAACCCGCGCGGCCAAACGCCGTGACGAAGAGGTGCGCGGCGACGTCGACGGTCCCCCACGACAGCCTATTCAAAGCCAGAAGGACGAGCATGGCAATGAGGTACGGCCTGAATGGGACGAACGCGGTGACCGGATGCGGGCGATGAATGCACAGCGCACCCGAGTAGAGGAACAAGCTCGTCGCATCCAGGGCGGGAGGGGATTAGGGCCTGCGCCGCCGCAGCAGAACCAGTGGGGCGACTCGCCCGAGTCGTTCGACGCCGGCGCCGGACGGAGCAGCGAGGCCTTTGGCCGTGGTTGAAGGTATGTCTGTGCATGCACATGGCTGACTGAAGATGAGGGTTGCTCGATAGCATGTGGAAGACTCGCATGGGGCATGGGCATGTTGGATGCATGCTGCAGATGCTCTTAGTGAGCGCCTGTTACTAACACCCTGTCCGAGTCGACAAGGTCCAGTGACGCCACGTGGCCTACGTCGCCGTCACTTTGACAGTAGTACCTTTCAGCCCCTAGCGCAATTCACTGCGGGGACAGACGAACAAACACGCTCTGCTTGGGCTTTCCGGCCCGGCCCAGCCTTTCCAGCTTGCTAATCCACTGAGTCGTAATCCACTGAATTGAAGTCCACTGAGCCGTAATCCACTGAATTGAAATCCACTGAATCGTGCGGCGGCGACCGAGGTGAACCGTGGTAGTGGCCGCCGTGAGGCCGTACGAAGACACCGCCCCCCCTTCAGGACAGTGATCTACCAGGTCCCCCCTCTGATCCCACTCTTCTCGTAGAGGACCGCTTGCAATGCCAGCCTAGCGGCCTCTGGCCATGTTCAAGGAGCCCCGTTGCTCGCAGCCTGCCGCGTCGCAATGTCCCAGCCCCGATCTCGCCGGTTCTGGGCGTGGGCGTTGTTGAGGCGATCGCCGAGGCCGGTCCGTCAGCCAACTGCTGACGGACTAGACCCAGGGCTTTGCTCACTTTGTGTACAGCAGCGAAACATCTCAGGTCTGCGCCCTTCAGCCTTCTCAATCTCCCAGCTTCGTTACGCCACCCTAGCGTCGCGGTTACGCCGGTCACTAGCCTGCCGCTTCAACCGTATCCCCGTGACAATCCACTTGTCATTCGTGCTTGATCTGATGTCGCGTGTCTCCGTCTCCGCCAATTCAACGCCCTAGAGGCAACACTTTACGTATTCGACCGCGCACTGTGAGCTGCCAGCGCACCTAACCCAGTCATGTCCGCCAACGCGTCTCGAGCTCGCATCTCCATTCTCATCTCTCATCTCTCATCTTCATCTCTCACCCATCATCTCCCACCTTAACTTGCTCTACAGCACTCTCATAGCACCTGCTGCCATCTCGACAGCTTCACAGCACTTGTCGCCATCTCTCTGCTTCACAGCTCACATCTCCCCTGCTTGCATACCTGCCCTCTCGGCCCATTCTCCCATCCATCTCCCTACGCGCTCTCGCACCATCCACAATCTCTCGACCATGGCGCCCACTCTCAAGCACCGTGATGTCGTCCCCGTGATCCGCAAACTAGGCTGGATCGAGAAGCGCGGCAAGGGGAGCCACACTCATTATATTCACCCCTCGCGCGCGGACGTGCGCATCACCATCACGGCCCACGGCACGGGCGGCACCGTCGACGCGGCGGTGCTCAACACGCTCAGAGCGTTCGTCGACCGCGACGACCCCTGCGTCCCCGAGTCGTGGTTCAGAGGCGTCCCCCAAGATCGCGAGGTGAGCTGCCCCGCGGTGTAGACTGACCGCAGGCCCTCCGCGCCTCCCTGTAGGCAAATTTGATCCCGCCTCCCGCCGGCCGGCGAGGCGACTGTTGTGCACCGCTGCACTGTACCTCCCGCAAGTGTTGTTGCTACCATTGTAGGCATGTTGATGTTATACTTCCGTGGATCGATAGCTCGGGAGGCGCGGTCCGGTTAGAAGCTGATCCAGGCGGAGGGGAGCTCTGCAGGCGGCGCAATCTGACGCCAGGATGGTTCAAAGGGTGCTTTCTCAGGCGGACTGTGTTTGGATGTCGTCGCGTGGTAGATACCGTGTACGACGTGCAGGAGAGACGGGCGCTCACCTTGGTGAGAGACGTCAACGATGCAGCGATCACGGTCAAAAACACTGAGCAATGGGCGACGCGGCGGCGCCAAGCTTCGTTGAGCCGCGAGTCTTGGTCAGGCGCGTCGCGCATAGTGACGGGGGCGAGAGACGGGCTGGCGGGAGAGACTGGAGAGGTGTGGCGAGCGTAGGGCAGAAGGGATTGGGCGAGCGCAGGAGAAGAGTAGGATGTGCAGAGTTCAGATGAGCGGCCAAAGGGGGAGAGGTCGAAGGGATTCTAGCGGCGTGTGCGAAACGATGGATAGCAGGCGAAGGAGGGAGGAGAAGGAGACAGCGGGGAGAGGGGAAGAGGGGGACGGAAGGGAGGGGACAGGGAGAGAGGACCCAGAAGACGCGGAAGACGAAGCAGTCGTAGTGAGAGAGTAGATAATCAGACTGCGCGAATTGATTGAACGTAGCATTAGCTGCTGAAGATCATAGAGCAGGGAGAGGAGACGAAGCTGACGAGGCAAGCAAGCAGACAAGGCAGACAGACCAAACGGACAGGCGGAGCAGACGAACTGACGAGCTGACGAGCAGACGCAGTAGATAAAGCAGAAGAGGCGGACGGAGCGGACGGAGCGGATGGAGCGGATGGAGCGGATGGAGCCTCTAAGCAGCGAGAGGGAGGGCTAGAACACGGCCTCGCACGATAAACAGCAGGCCCACCGCAGCATTGCCGTCTCGTCAGCGGTGCGACGCACGTGATCCCCCATCACCATCGCTGCTTGTCCACGCGCGCGCTGATAGGCTGGATGGACAATGATCACGTGTTCGCAGACGGTGGAGAGTTGCCGGATGCCCGGACATGCCGAGCAGGCACAGAGGTACATGAGAGGCACCGAGATCTGCGTCCGCCCCCACACTGTTGGTGCTTGGCAGTGGCTATGCACACCTTGTACATTGCCTCGCTACATGCTGCAGTCGGTCCTGCTCTCCTCAGAGTCTTCCCAGCCTCATCGACCCGTGGTGTTACTCGCCAGAGCACGATGGCTGGGTTTGGGTCTGAATGGAGAGACAGATATAAACATCAGCATGGCGTCTAGGGCTGCCTGGGATGGCCGGGTGGTGGCGCATTGTCTTTCCAGCTGACCCGAGCCCCAGTCCAAGCCCAGTGCAACACCCGCACATGACCGAGTCCGAAGCCAACAAAGCCCTGCTCTTGCACAGTAGGTAGCCCCGGCTGCCCGAATGTACAGTACGTACACACGTCAGTGCCAAGGCCGCATAGGCTGTGTCACCAGTCACGCCGCGCGCCCTGCGTTTGGGTGTGGGGTGCTGCAGCATTCCTCTGGCTCCTGGGCCATCGGTGCATGCTACTCGGCGGATGCATGCTTGGCACCACCCGCCAGGGCCAGGGCACGAGAACACAATGCCGGGTCGCGCAGAGACAATTAGCGTACAAGAGGGGGGAGGGGGGGTGTCCGGGCCGACGAGGGACGACGAGAGGCGCGGCAGGATGGTCGAAATACCGAGACCCCACAGTCCATCGTCCATCTTCTTGCCGCCACCTACATACCTGTGCAAACACTCGCCATACAATCAATGCACTGCCGTCTACCGCCTCTCCGTCCTCTGCCTCTCCCCTCCCTCGCCCTTTAACACCACCTCTCCATCGCTCTTACACTCACAATGCAGACATGACGATCGACGAAGCCCACCACCCCGCCCTCGCCCCCTTCGCCGACTTCGCCTTCGTGCTCGCCGCGCCCCCGCCCCACCCCACACCACTCAAGTCCACACCTGCGGTCACATACCATGTCCTGCCTCCATCGACGGTCCGCGCCGTCGGCGAGCAAGCACCCACCCAGCTCTACTTTGAGTCGTTTCTGCTCGACCACGGCGCGCTCGCCATCACACGCGCCGACCTCATCCACGTCCTCTCCCTCCTCTTGACGCGCTACGCTGAGGCAGCCGACCTCGTCGCCCAAGTCACAAAGACCATGTCCGAGCCGCTCGGCAAGCCCGACGCCGCATGGTGTCTCGAGATCCACGCCAGTGTAAAAGAGGTTGCGCGCCGGCGCCTGGAGATGGCTCGTGAGTAGCTCGGAGCAGAGGGGGAGCAGAGCAGTTCCCACGGGGTCCATGATACCGCTTTGCGTCGTCAAGCACCCGTGGCTGTGAGATGACGTGAGACGCGTGTGGGAAGTTTCGCGGTCGATCCTCGCGTCCGCTCGCCAATTTCCGATCAGAGATCGGCTCCTCTTCGCTCGTGCTCGTGAACTGCCCCGCTCACCCCAGGCACATTCAACCGCGAACTGATGCGCCTCTCCGACCTCGAGCGCACAGGACACCCCCCGAGGAGCTGGAAGACGTTCACGCGCGCCGGCAAGCCGTCTGCGCGCCGCCGCCGCTCCCGGCCCTCCTCGTTGTCCGAGGACGAAGTGGAAGAGCTCCCGTCTCCGCCAGAAGGCAGCCTGTCGCCGCTGCGCCGCCCGTGCGCCCTCCCCCGCATCCGCGAGGACAGCGACACGGACTGGACAGGCAGCATGCAGTGCGGCGGGATCCACTTCGTCAGCGAGTGGGTGTTCCGCGTCACGCGGCTTATTACGGCCGAAGGTTTCCCGGGCGGACAGGAGGAGCGGGATGCGCGCGCCCTCGAGACGGCGCGTGACGAGCTCGCGCATCTCCAGCACCATATGGCGCATGCTAGTGGATCCCGGTCGCCGCCTCCGCCGCCGTATGCGCCCCGGTCACGCACGCTTTCGTTGATGCGCTTCCGGTCTACGCCCAGCCCCTCGCCGCCACCAGTCGAGAAACCCAGGCCTAAACATGCAGAGTCCAGCAAGTGCGACGGCAAGGACAAGGCCGGGGTGTGTGACTACCTCCGCCGTCTCTTCGTTGGTTAGAGATCCTCCGCTTCTCTCTCCCCCACCTCCCCACCTCCCCTCCCTTCTACACGCAAATGCACTGTATTACTAGATTCATCTATGCAAGATAACGAGAGTCAGAGTTAGCGCCGCACGGACTGCACGCGCCTGTCGCCCTTCTCGGCGCGGGCGCGCAGCTTGGCCTGCTTGCGCGACTCGCCTGGCTGTCCCCCCGCAGCAACGGGCGCCTCCTCCTTAGGCGCCTTGGGGCCGAACAAGCCCGGGAGGAACATGCCGAGGAAGGGCTTGGCGACGCCGAAGAGCTTTGAACCAACGAAGCAGGGGACGAGGGCGGACAGCCACCACACCCAGTTGCCGAGTAGCGCGCCGCCGAGTGTGCAGATCCAGGTGATGTAGATGCTGGTATAAGCGAGATCGACATAGCAGGAGGCAGGGAAGGGCACTCCAGGCAGTTCAGCGAGCTGTGCCAGCCGAGTGGCACTATCAATGCCCTTTAGCGACTCACACATCCCAGGCCACCTCGATCACGCCGCCTGCCCCCAGGTCCTGGGGGACTCGGAGGTCGCCCTTGGCGTTGCGCGTCGGTGTGCCAATTTCAACGAACCAGCGCCAGATAAATATCGAGGCGACAAACCCCAGGCCGTGGAGAAAGCCCACGAAGCCGCCAGGCAAGAGCTGGCGCCCGTACACCTTCCACTTCATGATGCGAACAAGCACTGCGAGGACCTGGGATGAGCGCGGCCTTGACTTGGTGGACAATCGTCTGGCGGCACAAAGAGGCTACTAGCGTCTGGGCTGAAGCAGCCTCCGATCGCGCCCCAGGCGAGCGTCACGTCGCCACCCACATTGATCATGTAGAAGTTCTTGGGGAGCGCCTTGAGCAGCCTTTCGTTGGCTGCGGCGATGCGTTTTGTTGATGCGTTCGCCTGAAGTCAGCTTTGCAGTGTATATCTGACCCACCATGCTGGGTATGAACAAGAGAGTGTCGTGGGGGAAGTGGAAGACGATGAAGAGAGTGGATGAATGCCAAGATAAGTCGAACGAGGACGCGTCCATCTCGGCGGTGCACTGCGTCATTTGCTTCCGCTCATAAAGTTCGGCGGCCAGCGGCGACCGGCTTCGACGCCGCAGCCTTCACGCACCTACCTGAGCACAGCACCGATCGGATGAACGCCACGCGCGCGCTCCTCAAGTCGTCGTCCTCGACGCGCTGGCTCGCCCGCCAGTCGCGCGACCCTTTCGTCAAGTCGCGCGGCGGCGCGTACCGCGCCCGCTCGGCGTTCAAGCTCAAGGACCTGGCAGGCAAGTACCCGATCCTAGGACGGCGCGTCGTCGACCTCGGCGCCGCGCCCGGCGGGTGGAGCCAGGTGGCGGCGGAGAAGCAGCGCCAGTTCCGCGGCAAGGGGGTGGTCGTGGCCGTGGACTTGCTGCCGATGGAGGCGATGCCGGGGGTGGAGGTTGTGACAGGGGACTTTTTCGACACGGGCGTGCAGAGCCGCGTGCTGGAGCTGCTGAGGGCAGCTCCGCGGTCGTGGGCTAGGCTGGGGCAGAAAGATGAGCAGGGAGGAAACGCAGAAGCAGCGGACAAGGAGGGAGCGTCTTCGACCGCCGAGATGGCAGACACCGGCCTTGCCGACTGCGTCCTTAGCGACATGATGGCGTCGATGAGCGGGATCCGGGATCGTGACGTCGCGGCATCGCTTGATCTCGTGTCCGCCGCTACGTGGCTGGCGCATCAGGTCCTCCGCTCCAAGGACGATGAGTACGCCGGCGGCTCGCTTGTGTACGTGCCACACCGGGAATCAAGCAGTGCTGACATCAGCCTCAAGTTCTTCATGCACCCCGAACTGGTTGACTTCCGCAAGAAGCAGCTCGAGCCCTACTTCTTCAAAGTCGTCACCGACAAGCCCGCAAGCAGTCGTAAGGAGAGCGCCGAGGCGTACTGGGTTTGTCTGGGTTACAAGGGGGGATGGGTCCCCGAGGAGGTATAAGTCGACATCAGGCGTCGGTGCATGGCAGCAGTGCTGCCAGTCTCTGCTGCTACATTCTCACATGATACGACACCACGCTACATCGCTCGTGTCGGTTTGTCTCGCTTTTGCGGCCTCTCCCAACAACCTCGGCGGAGATCTAGGCACCAGCGGCGACATCTCGGCCGCGCCGGCGGGCCACCTCCGCTCATCTCCGCCCTGAGCTGAGCGCCATCAGTCAGCACTCCAACCCGAGTAATCTCAAGATAAACCAGCCGAAGATTGATGTTGCTCTTCCATCTTCTGTCTCTGGAACCCGCTTCTGCTCACTGTTTCTATCACTGTTTGTTGCTTTCATCAGCACAGCTTTTCCGTGTCGACGACACTCACGCATTTTGGGACGCCGATAGACGCCGCAGTCTCGGCAACTTCCACCCGCTCCACCTCTCTCCACACCTCATCTCCCCGCCCTCGTTCCCCGCCGCCACTTCACGCGCCCCCTCCCAGCCGGCGCAAACGCGCTCGCCACGATGGAGGCCATACGCATGTCCTCCCCGCAGTCGCCGACGTTCGAGTTGACAGACCCGATCTCGCGGACGACCTCGCGCGTATCGCGATTCTCGCTTGACCCAGATCCCGAGGCGGGCAAGGAGCGAAGGTTGTCACCGAGCACAACCGCGACGCCGCCCGCCGCGGCGGAGAAAGATGACCCCTTCGAAGTACTCTGGGACGGGCCAAACGACCCGGAGTGCCCGCTGAACATGTCCATGGCGCGCAAGTGGGCGATTGTGGTCGTCATCGCCGTGTCATGCCTCTGTGTGACCTGCTGCTCCTCCATGGCCGCCATGACATACAGCGGCATGATCGCGACGTACGGGATCAACACGACGCTCTGCATCTCGTCGATCTCGTTCTTCGTCATGGGCCTGGGATGCGGGCCGCTCCTCCTCGGCCCTGTGTCCGAGTTCGCGGGCCGCAAGCCGGTGCTGCACGGTGGCTTCGCGCTCTTCTTCCTCCTCAACTTTCCCGTCGCGTTCGCGCCCCACATTGCCCTCCACCTCGCCTTCCGCTTCCTCACGGGCTTCGTGGGCTCGGCGTTCCTCTCCGTCTCGGGCGGCGCCATCACCGACGTGTTCCACAACACGCGCGTGGCGACGCCCATGATGATCTTTAGCTCGGCGCCGTTCCTCGGCCCCGTCCTCGGCCCCCTCCTGAGTGGCTTCATCAACCAGCGCCAACCAGATTGGCGCTGGACATACTACGTCGTGATTATGTGGGCATTCGTGTGCATGGCCGCGCTCCTCCTCCTCCTCCCCGAAACGTACGACCCGCAGCTATTGAAGCGCAAAGCGCGGCGGCTGCGCCAGGACACGGGCGACGCGCGCTGGCGCGCGCCAATCGAGAAACTCGACCGCTCCTTCGCCGCAGCGCTCAAGCATTCGCTCCGCACGCCCTTCCGTCTCCTCGCGACAGAACCCATGGTCCTCTTCCTCGACCTCTGGTCCGCCCTCATCCTCGGCATCCTCTACCTCTCCTTCTCGGGCGTGCCGTACATCTTCCGGACGCAGCACGGCTTCTCGCTCGAGCAGACCGGCATGAGCTTCCTCGGCATCGGCGCAGGCCAGGTCGTCGCCGCCCTCTCCCAGCCCCTCTTCAACCGCGCCTACGCCAAAGTCAGCGCCGCTCACGGCGGGCACGCGCCCCCCGAAGCCCGCCTCGTCATGGGCATGTTCGGCGGCGTCATCTGCCCCATCGGCCTGCTGTTGCTCGGCCTCACAGCCTTCAAAGAGGTGCATTGGATAGTGCCGATCGTTTTGAGCTCCTTCTTCGGCCTCGGGTTGGTGTACGCGTACACCGCGACATTCACGTACCTCGTCGACGCGTACCGCCCCGTCGCGGCGAGTGCGTTGGCCAGCAACAGCTTCCTTAGGAGTACCTTTGCGGCAGGCTTCCCCTTGTTCGGGCTGCCGCTGTATGAGCGCCTTGGGCCGGTCGGCGCGACCTGCCTCCTTGCCGGGCTGTTGTTCTTGTTCACGCCGCTGCCCTTCATTTTCTACCGAACGGGCGCGTCGGTGCGAGCACGCTCCAATTTTGCGGCTCACGGGATGTAGCAGGGAGACAGCGAGGTTGATTCGGGTTGAGTAGAGACACTGGTAGATATCTAATAGACTACACTGTACACTACGCAATGTATGCATGGCTACGTAGCGGGGCGCTTGACGCCCGCCGCCACCACTCCTCCCCCGCCCGCCCCCGCGCGCTTGTCGCGGAAGAATCCCGCGACGCCCTTGGCGACCTCGCCCCACTCGCTGCAAACGCGCACTCCCTCCCCAATCCACTTGGGCAACTTGCCGCGCACACGCGGCCGCGCATACCGCGCATCGACGAGGAGGATGGCGGCGTAGTCGCCGGCGTGCCTAATCGCGCGCCCGATGCTCTGGTTGACGGCGCGCATGCACAGGTTCTGGCGTCAGCGAGCCCGCGCCCGTGCAGCACGCAGCACGCACCTCGTAGAGCTCGCGCGCGGCGTCCGCGCCCGCTCCGGGCAAGCGCTCGACGTAGCGCATGCGTTCTTGCAGCTCGGCGCTGGCGGCGTTCGCGAACGGCAGCCCGGCCATGATGACGCACCGGCCGAGCCGGTCCGAGAAGTTGATGCCTGCGTGAGCGCGGCCGCGGCGCGCATACCTTCTGACAGCTTGCCGCCGACGACGGCGAAGAGGAGGGCGCCGGAGCGCGGGCGGCCCGCGCTGTTCGTCTTGGGCGCGTCGATCGCGAGCGCGTACTCGCGCAGCACGGCGTCGACTTCGCCCGACGTCTGCGGCTCGTAGAAGATCTGGGTCAGAGAGGCGCGGGAGGCGCGGGAGGCGCGGGAGGCGTACTTGTTTTCGTTGTTCAAGTTTCGGGAGGAGGTCGCGCCACGCGGCTTTGAGCGCGTCCAAGAAGGCGTAGGAGGGCAGGAAGACCACCACGCCATCCGGCACTAGCCCGATCGTCGACTGCACGACGGCGCCGAGCTCGGCCATCTGCTGTCAGCTCCGCGGAGGGGAGACGCACGAGGCCCGCGTCGCGCCGCTTCGCGAACGTGAATTCCAGATCTACTTTGCGCGGGCCGCGAGTCACGACTTGAGTGAGCAAGTTGGTCTTGGGGATGACGTGGGCGCACGAGAGCGTTGCGAAGCGCTCGCGAGGGACGGATGGGAACAGTTGGGTGTAGAAGTCCGCGAGCTGTTGTTAGTGCGGCGTCGCAGAGCGACTTACCGGCTCCATGGTCCCGCCTGCGAGGATGACGGATCGGGCGGCGGCGACGACCTCGGCGAAGCGCTCGGCTGGGTTCAGAAGGACGTATTTGAGCGTCACGGCGTCGCCGTCCTTGCCGAGAATGACGCGGCCGTCGTCCCGTGCGTCCGTGAGGCTAAGGAGGAGGGCTTCGACACCGCGGAAGGCGGCGATGGACGCGTGGCGCGCCGCTGTACTCCTCTTCTCGCGCCCCTTCTGTTCCTTCTCCTCCAGAGATTCCGCATATCCCGACACCTTGCGTGCAAGTTTGGACTCCTTGAGATATCCCACGAGCTCGAGAAGATTGACTGCGTCTGCGGACCGCCCGACACGCCCCATAAGCGCGTTGACATCCATCATTTCGCTGGCCTCCTTTCCCTTTGCGAACGTCGAGCAGACGCCCACGAGGCCGCGCAGCACTGTGAGCGTCTGCTGGATCATGAGCGCATGTCGAGGCTTGAGCCGCGACCGGAAGCGCTGGAGGTACTGCGTGAGCTGGGCTGCCGCGCTGCTAACATGAGACGCGGGGAGGGAGGCGGAGTAAATGCCGAGAATCGTGTCGATGAGGTTATGCGCCTCGTCGATAACCACGATCTGGTCAGTCAAGTCGATGCCGAGGGCCTCGCGCGCATTCTTCTGCAGCAGGAGATTGTAGGGGAGAGTGACGAGCTGCGCCTGCTTCGTCGCCCGCCGCGTCGCGTAGTACGGACACACGCCGGCGCGGCGGCCCTCCACCACGAGGTCTTCGATGTCACGCACCGTCGCGAGCACGGCGTCGCGTGCGTCGAGCAGCGGCCCCTCGTCCGCCTTCGGTGGGAGGTGGGGACAGCGCTTCACGCCTGGCGTCAGCCGTGTTGGCGGACTACCCACCGCTCTTCTGCATGTCGAGGCACGCCTCGTTCATCTTGTCTTCGCGCGCGAGCGCGCGCACCTTGTCATTGATGCACATCTGTTTCCGCGAAGCGAGGGGGACGGCGGACACGCGGTCCTCGTCGGCCGCGTCGTCGGCCGTGAACGTCGTCTTGAGGAGCTCGGCCGTGAGCTGCCGCAACTGCGAGTGTGTTCGGGAGGCGAAGTACACCTGCCGTCAGTGGAGACTACCGCATCTTCGTCACGCACCTTCGGCACGTCCTCCTCCTCGACCTCCTCGGCGGCCGGCTTGTCCAGCTGCGCCATGAGCGCGCGCACTTCGGCGCTGACGTTCATCCCGTCGTCCGGCACTGCATCCGCGTCTCCGGGGAGGAAGTCGTCTTCGCGCCGTTCCGTCTCCTCGCTCGCCGCCGGGCGCGCACGTTTCCGGAACGCGGCGGGGTTGGCGCGCCGCCGCTCCCGGTCCCGCACAGCCGCGAGGCGCGCCGCGCGCTCGGCTGCTGCGAGCCGCAGCTCGCCCATGTGTCGCTTCACGGCGTTCTCGATGATCCATGGCGGGTCTGCGATCAGCGATGCCGCGCAAGCACGCACCATCCGGATCCTCGGCTGCGAAGCGCGAGCGCAACTCCGCCTCGGCAGCTTCGTCGAGGCGCCGCCGGTGCGCGGCCAGCCAGCTCAGCGTCGCGGTGAGCAGCGTCAGGCTCTTGCCTGTGCCTGTGGGCGACTCGACCTGGCGTCAGCACGGCGTGAGACGGGCTCACGATGGCGATCTTGCGCGCTTCGATAGCTGCGAAGACGGTGCGCATTAGGTCGAGCTGGATGGAGTACGGCTCGGGGTAGGGGAACGGGAAGGAGGTGGGGGTCGGCAGGCGGGGGAGCGGCGGCTCATCTTGCCTGGAAGGCCCAGCTTCCGCCGAGTCGCCCATCGCCATGAGAGAATGAGTGAAGATGGGAAGAGAACTGATGGTGAGACGGCAGGTATCGGCACCGGGCAGGGCGCGGACATTGATTTTCGGTCGCGTCGCGTCGCGGGTCCCCGGCCCGGGTGGCGAATCGATGCCGCAATTACATGTAGGTGCTCCACACTCTGCCACGCACATCTGCCAGTCTTCAGACGAATAACGACTCCATGACTGCTACTAGACTACAGGGCTAAAGTTACTCGTTCTTGAAGTTGAGCGAGATGCCGTTGACGCAGTGGCGCTCGTCCGTGGGCGTTGCGTAGCCCTCGCCCTTGAAGACGTGGCTGGGGTTAGTTACTGTAGCTCGTGGTGGCGTCTGTTTACGCTGGATTCGCGCATTCTCCGGACTCTCGCAAGCGGAGGCGCGTTCACAGCGCATGTGTACGGTAGACGAAAAGGACAAGCTACTCACCCGAGGTGGCCGCCGCTGTCCGTCAGCTTGAATCAGCGCGCTTGGACTCACCAGTTCGCGCAGACAATCTCGGTACGGGTCATGAAGTTGGAGTTGTCCTCGCGGCGGATGACGGCGCCGGGGATGGTGTCGAAGAACGCGGGCCAACCGCAGCCGGATGCGCTGGTGTGAGCGAGGGTCGAGGTTGATCATGCCCGATGGGCTCCAGCCGAAACGCCGACCACTGGCAACTGTCCAGCGTTTGGGCCTGGATGTAGGCAGTGCTGGCCCGATGGCCAGGCGGCGAAGCGGCGACCATGCCACCAAGCCAGAACCCAGCCTTCACATTTGACTTACAACTTCTGGTTCGAGGTGTAAAGTGGCGCGTCGCACCCAGCACAGGCTGACGTCAGCACAACATGGCGCCGCCACTCACTGTACACGCCCGAGTCCTCCTTCTTGTCAAACTCGTGCGAGCCGGGGCGCTCGGTGCCCTGCTTGCGAAGGATACGGAACTGGGATTAGGGGGTGATCATGTGGGTATATGAGGAATGGCCAGAGCTTCTGGGATACCATCACTCGCATCCTCCCCTCTCCCACCACCGATTCGTTAACGCCGCGAGCGACGTGAGCTCCGTGAGCTTCGTGAGCTGCCAGGCAGCTCTTCCTGCTGCTCCCATACACACACTCACCTGCTCGGGCGACAGCTGGGCCTGCCACTCCGCCTCGGACTTGTTAACCTTGAACTGCTCAGACATTTTGGGCGTTGTGGAGAAGAGAGAGAATGGGAAGATTGCAGCGGCAGAGTATGCAGTGTAGCGAGCAGACGGACGGAGCGAGGAGAAGACGGGCCTGATAGTGTGCAGGGGGACGCGAGGCATATGAGTGGACGACGAGGAGAAAAATGCAGGGGATGGCTTGGCTGGGCTAAAGAGATGGTGTGCTCGACAGGATGAGTTGGGTGGGCAACCTCTCATTTGAGCGGAGGGGCCATGACGTCGTTGCCCCGCCGCTGGGGTGACTGACCACAGCTAGGCCCTACTGGAGCACAGCTTCGCGCAGCGCTCCGTCGCCGCTCGGCTGATGAGAACGCCCGAGTTGATCGTGAGCAACATGACAATGGAGGAGTGGATCTGTAGCAGAGCGGAAGCGACATGCATACCCAAGATGACCTCGCTAGTCCGCCGACCCACGAATCGCCAAACCCCTCGTCCGCCGAGCCTCCGGTCAAAACCAGATTACATAATCCCACGCCATCACCACGCGGGCGGATTTCGCCACATTCGCAAAATTCATGAAACGCCGCGGCGATCCCAAACTGTTGCTGGCCAGGCTGCCGTTCAGTGAGCCATCTGTCGCCAGCGTACACCCATCCGACAACAATCATCAAAATGGCTTCCTCTACCGGTGAGTAGCACGGCCTTACGCAGCACGGCGACAGCGGAAATCGGCACGGCACGCGCGTTCGAACGGTGCGCGTATGCGCAGGAGGGCTCGAGCGACCGGGGATCGAAACTTCGACATCGAGTCCGGCGGCGGAGAAACGACGAGGTCGGCGCATATGGCGGCGAGCGCGGGATGCGTTTACCATGCGTTGCGTGGTGATGGCGCTGTCCACGTCGTTCTACGTGTCTTTGCGCAACCCGCGATACATCGACATGCGCTCGAAAGTTTCGACATGGCTTGATCGCGAGACCTTCCCCCTCCCCCAACACCCCAGCCGCCGACCTCTTCCCTCGCACGACCTACACCTCGCCGCGCCCCAATTTCCGCTGTGCTGCGTTGCTGCCAACCACCCCTCTCCCCACACTAACCCCAGGCCTCGCCTCGGACCGCCGCAAGTCGCGCAAGGCTCACTTCTCGGCCTCGTCGGGCCAGAAGCGCAAGATCATGTCGGCGCCTTTGAGCAAGGAGCTCCGTGCCACGCACGGCGCCCGCTCCATCCCCGTCCGCAAGGACGACGAGGTCCTCATCGTCCGGGGGAAGTACAAGGGCCGTGACGGCAAGGTCGTCCAGGTGCGTTGGCTGCCTGCTCTGCGATGTTGCGACGAGATGTTGACCCCAGGTCTACCGCAAGAAGTGGGTCATCCACGTCGACCGCGTCCACGTCGAGAAGTCGAACGCCGCGACCCCCTCGGTCGGCATCCACCCCTCGAACGTTGTCATCACCTCGCTCAAGCTCGACAAGGACCGCAAGGCCATCCTCGAGCGCAAGGGTGGCAAGAAGGCGGCCGAGCCCGCCGCGGAGAAGAAGGAGTAGACGGCTTCTTCTTTGTAGTGGCTCTGGGGTTGGGATGTACCTCGCATCATGACAGTTAGCGGGGGGGGGGGGGGGGGGGGGGGGGGGGGGGGTGTGTGTGCTGTGGGCGGGCGGAGGGAGTTTTGACTGAAGGCACAGAGGAGATGGGGGTGGAAGGGCTGCTGCTGGCCCAATTCGGGCAGGTTGCAGGTCATGCCCAAGGCGAGACATGGGATCAAAATGTGTGCGTACGTTGGTGCAGTTGGTCGTGGCTGTGTCGCGCTGCCATGATCTGCATCTCCATCTCGCGCAGTTGGGACACAAGTGGCCTGCAAATGAGAGGGAGGTGCAGTCCGAGTGGTCGTCGCGGAGAGCGCTGCTGTCTCCATCTGCGAAATGCGGAGACGGGGTACTGCTTGATCTCCGCGTGACAAAGCCTGGGCCATAGGATAGCCACGAGGCAACCTTGTCCAAGTGAGTGAATTACCCAAGTGAGACGGATTTAGGCAACGCCAGCGCCATGTAGTCAACGCGTCATCTCTTGTCTCGAGGAGGGTTGTAGAGGCCACTAGTTCTCTAGCTCGCGTGGCTCGTAGATGCCTCGAGGAGGGGGGTTGGCTCCGAGACATCTGGCAGATCCGAGTCGGGAGCTCAAGGGGACATCGGGACACAGCGCGGATGTAAATTTGGACAACAAAGTTCGGACAAGATCGACTGGAGAGCGGTGGGCGGTGGGCTTGGCATCCTCTCAGAGACTGCAATGCTGCGCCAGTGCACGGTGCGCTTGCTTTCCGCCAAGGGGCGTTGGCGTAAGCTAAGCGACAAGCTGAAGAATAACGGCATGAAGGAGATGGTACCAAGTGTGCTGTACAGTACGGAGGACGGAGGCTGATGGGTGGCATGGGTGGTGGATGATGAGGAGCTTGCTTGGTCCCTCCACTCAGCCACATCATCCATCCACCTTCCCTCCCGTCACTCCTCTTTCTCTTTTCTCTTCTCTTCCTCTTCTCATCGCATCGACATCTCTCTCTCTCTCTCTCTTCCCATCCCACCACCACCACCACCACCACCACCATCCCCATGCTCAATGCTTGAGTGACTCTTGCTTTGTCGCGGCCCCCCATCTCCCTCCTGTATGACCATCATTCCTTGACCATCATCGCCTGAACAAGTCAATCAGAGGGAACGCCAGCCTACGCCACTTCCCCCCCTCGGGTGGCTTTTCCTTTACGCCTTTTGGTGTCCACTCTCCATCTCCATCCTCATCCTCATCCTCATCTATCCCCTCCTCCCCTCACATCTCCTCGCATCTCCCCTCTCCCTCTTAGCATTTCACCACTACACTCCACAACCGTCACACTCCACCTCCACGCCCACCATCACCAACCTCCCATTGCATCTCCTCCTCCTCTTTAGCACACGCCCTGCACGCCCCCCCCCCCCCCCCCCCCCACCAAAGCCCCAAGAGGCCTGAGCGACAAGTCTGGGAGCCTCACGCCTAGACCCCCTCTCGCCGTCCCTCGCATCTCCACTGCACTCTCCCTCCTCCACTTCCATCCCGACGCGCACAATCACCCACTCCTCCATTTGCTCAGCCACCATCATGGCCAGCAAGAAGAACCCCTCCTCCAGCCCCGATCGTGGAGAGGTGTCAACCCCCACCCCATCGGGTGGTCCAGCCACTGCCTTTGCCACATCGCCCTCGGCAGTCTCAACAGTGTCCGCAGCAAGTGCCGCGTCAGCCCCACCTTTTATAAGCAGAGACGACTCGGCATACAGTGCGCTGGCCGCGCGTGTTGCCGCCACCGAGACCAGCCTCGCACTCTTGCAGTCTCAGGTTGCTCAGCTCGCTTCCGCAGTCAAGACGGCTCTCCCGTCGTCCGCACTCCCCAATGGCGCCCTGTCGGGGATAGGCGGCGGGCGTATGTTCTCGCCGTTTGACGCACCTACTCCCACCCTTGCACCAACATCGGCTGCCATGACTGGCCGTTCGTCCGCAGGCGAGGGCGCCGACATTTCCGCCCTGACACAGCAGATTGCAGCGCTGTCCACGAGCGTTGCACAGCTCCAGCGGCTTCAGGCGCAGGGTGGTAGTGCCGCCGGGACCGGCGGTCCACAGCTCGGCATGGGGCAGACCTCGGGTCTCCCGAACGGACATTCCCATCATGGTGACCCCCGCATGTTCGCGAGAATGAGCATGCCACCACTCGAGTCGCCCATCGGCGGCCCGCTCTCGCCCCACGGCCATCTCTCCCCCACTCGCGACTTTGGGGGCCCCCGCACGCCCGTCAACCGATCGTTTGGCTCGAGCCTCCTCAATGACAGCCTGGACAATAACATGTGGGGAGCACCCGGTGGCGGCAAGTACGGCGGCGGCGGCGGCGGCGGGACAGGTGGGGCAGGCCGAGAATGGGTGCCTAGCCCTGGCGGCCACATGCAGACCCAGCGCGAGCAGGCGGGTGGGGGCATGTCCAACAACAGCGCAGCTGCACCGGGCGCAGGCATTGTCGTCACAAAGTGGGAGCAATTGCAGCTCAAGCCCGACCTTTTGCGTTCCATCTCCAAATATGGGTACGTTCTTGTGTAGTCGTCGTCGTCGTCGTCGTCGTCGTCGACTACGACAATGTCGATACCTTGGGCGCGCAACAGCTAACGACGCAGCATTGGCCCTCCAAACAAGATTCAAGCCCGTGTACTCCCGTTCATGCTCAAGGGCTCGGACATCATCGCGCAGGCCCCTCCCACGCAGGAACGCATCATATCATAGTGAGTCCTGACACTTGTGGCACACAGGGGCTGACAGAGCAAGCGTGATCCCCGCCCTCCAGTTATGTCTCACCCTCGCGCCCATGCAGGGCCCATTCCGTGGTCCTTCTGTCATCATCATCACCACCACCGTGGACCAGGCCACGCAGTGTCACAAGCGTACGTCAGCTGTTAACACTTGGGTAATCACTAAACGTGTCACAGTTGTACGCAACGTCGGCGGTCCTCTCGGCGTCCGTGCTGCGCTCGCCGCCGGTGCTACGGGCTCGAGCTCGTTGCCCAACGAGGTGGCAAACATGCAACGCGACGGGATTCAGATCCTAATTGGAACACCGGCAAAGATCAACGAAATTATGAATGCCAGGGGCAGCCTCTCCGGAGCCGAGTGCCGTCTCCTTATCGTAAGTTTGCTTCGGCAGAATCATGTGAAACATTTCTGACACTTCAATTTAGCTCGACGAGGTTGACCAATTAATTGCCCGCAACCTGTACGAGAATGTCCTGAGCGTCGCTCGGCTTCTCCCATCACCACGCCGAGGCGGCGGTGGCGGTGGGCCGCTTACTCCTGGTGGATTCTCGACGACCGTTGGCAGCCCCTTTGACAATGGCGCACACTCGCCCTTCAACCCGCAGAGCAAGACCCCATTCCCCTCCGCCCAGCCTTCACGGTTCAGCACTCCAGGCCCTAGCGGCCAGCCTCCTAGGTCGGCCTCCTCCCCCATCGAACGCCAGACGTGCATCTTCTCAAACACGATTCCAACCGACGTCATCACTTTCTCGAACCAGTTGGAAGTTCGCGACCCTGTGCGCGTCTTGGTGCGCCGCGAGGGCACGACCAACTCGCAGGAGTCGGTGTCATCAATCAGCCCCGGTCTCAGCGTCAAGCACACATATGTCTATCTCACGATTACTGGATCAGCTCGCTCCGAGGAGCAGTCAGCCGACGCCGGGCCGGGCACCATTGGCTCAGGCCGCGCGAACGCTGGCGGGATGAGCGAGGAGGCCGCTCGTGCTAAGGAGTACAAGCTCGACACGCTCGTCAAGATGCTCGATGACTACCCACTGTGGCAGGCGATTATCCATGTCGGCTCGTACTCGATGCTCGAGGCTGTCGTGTACAAGCTCTCTGGACGACAGTGGGAAACGCTATACCTATCGCCCGACATGCCGCCGCCACAGAAGAAGGCCATGCTGCAACAATGGCGTATGAGCATTGCAGGCCAGGGCCCGCGCTTCCTCGTGTGCTTTGATGTCAACCCCAAGCCGCCCGAGATCCCTTGGGCTCCCCTCGTCATCAACTTTGACCTGCCGAGGTCTGTGGAGGGCTATGCTCTCCGCGCAGCTGCCGCCATGCCCCCTACGTCGCGGCAGGGGCAGGCGCCACCCGTCAACGGCGTAATCGTCAGCTTTGTGCAGGCGGCTGGCGGTGATGTGGAGATGTTGCGCTCGACCGAGTGCGCGTACCGCTTCAAGTCGGCCGAGATTCCTACCGTATTCCGCGACCTGTTCCCACACTAAACTCGCTCTTCCGCCTCAGCCTCAGCCCAGCCCCAGCCACGCAACTGTGCAACTCGTAACGTGTGTATCGCAACTTTGTTCTTCCTGTGGATTTTGGGTTCCCTCCTTCATCGTTTCTATAGCACCACATTCAAGGCCGTGACGGCATTCCAACTCATTTCAAATATCACAAGTCACCAAGAACGACCCGTCGGCCACGACCCCCTCTCTGCACTGCTGTGGCGCCGCGTCTCCCCTTGCGGCTGGCGTAGTAGCGTCGAGGCGGGGGAGATGGACTGGCCGACAAACACAAACTGCACTGGAAGTGGACTCGTAACCTGTCATCCATAGTCAGGATCATACGCATATATCTTGTAGCCAGGGCTTGCCCTGTCTCATGCATGTAGCTGTACTCTGATCAGTTCGTGAGCGAGTGAGTGAGTGAGAAGGAGAGAGGGAACGGGGAGTGAGAGGAGGACCACGCGAGTAATGTCGTGTTGATTTTTGACTTGAGTGAGGAGTGATAAGAAAAGACCCGTGTGAGTGTTTGTGCCTGAGGTGGAACGCGAGACGCGTGTAGCTTGTTCCCCGCCCGCCTTGCCTTCCTCGCACCAGAGACCAGAGGCAGCAGGCACCTTGGCACTCGATCTCTCTCTCTCTCTCTCTCTCTCTCTCTCCTCTCCTCACCATCTTACTCTCCTCCCTCACCACCATCTCCTCCTCCCTCACCACCTCAAAATAATGTCTGTCTATACAGGAGCCTGTAAGTCATCTCTCTCCTTCCTCCTCCTCCTCCTCCTCCCCTTCTACAGCCCCCCCAATGACCCCCCCTCCACCCCCCTCCTCTCCCTCTCCCCCACCCACCACGAGGCCATCACCCTGCGGAGATCGCGCACTCGCGCACTCGCGCACACTCCTCCATCTCTCGCATCCACGCATCTCCCCTGCTCATACCTCCCACACCGCTTGGGCACCTCTTTCTATCGCTCCATCTCTCCATCACTCCACTACTCTCTCGACAATCTCCTCCTTAAACAACACACCCTTTCCGCCCCTCTCCCCTCCAACCCTCCCCCTCCTCCAACCTCTTCTCTTATCTCCTCTCTCTCTCTCTCTCTCTCTCTCTCTCTCTCTCTCTCTCTCTCTCTCTCTCTACCACCACCTATCCCAATGAACACCTCGACCTCCTCCCGCATCTCCTCCCGCCTCAGCACGGGTACCGCCACGCCCCCCGCCTCGCCGAACAAGCCCTCGCCGCACTCGCCCAACCTCGGTACTCATCACCTCCTCTCTCCTCCCCTCTCCTTCTAATCCCCCTCCTCTCCCTACTCTCGTGCCTAGAGCTAACCCCCAGCGCGTGGCGAGCTGATTGCATGGCTCAACGACTTGCTCGCACCCCAGGTCGTCCAGAAGGTCGAGGAATGCGGCAAGGGCGTCATCCTCTGCCAGGTAAGCTCCCCTCTGAGGCAGTGCGAGCTAACTGACAGGTTCTCGACTCGATCTATGGTGAGTCGATCAGATCGCCGCGCCTTCCAGCCTCCTGGCGAGCGCGGTGTCATGGCACGGTCCTGTCCGCTTGAACTTTGCGGTGCTCGGCCTTTGACATGCCGCTCGCCACTCGGGACTGCGCCGCTCGGTCCTTAGCGAGCATCGAGCTGCTATGGCCTGGCACTAGCACTTGAGCACTAGAAGCTGTCTCCCGCAACGCACCCAGACATCAGCACTGACCGCAGGCGACCTGCCCATGTCCCGCGTCAAGTTTAACGCGCGTATGGAGTACGAGTACCTCGAGAACTTCAAGATCTTGCAAAAGGCCTTTGCCAAGCACAAGATCGACAAGCCGATTCCCGTCGGCAAGCTCGTAAAGTGAGTACAGGTGCACGTGGCGGCACGGGAGTGCATGCGTCTCTCCCTCCTTGTGTGTCCTGCTCTGAAGCGAAGCCGGTTGTGGTTTTTCGGGCTTGGAGCTGGCAGGAGCGTGCAGTCAAATGCCGCCATGGCGAGGAGCCAAAACATAAACGTGTAGTGCAATGCCGCTAACCCCAGGTGCAAAATGCAAGACAACCTCGAGTTCCTGCAATGGATGAAGAAGTTCTGGGACGCCAACTCGACTGGAGCGGCGTATGACACTGCGGGGCGGGGCATGATTGCGTCGTCTGGATCCAGCGCACCTGCGCCGCGCACGAGCACCTCTGCGCGCGCTCCCGCTCCCGCCCCCCGCTCCTCCGTTGCTGCTGCCGCTGGGGCACGCGCGCCTTCCGCCGCTTCAGCCGCGCAGCTGTCCCAGCTCAATGCGCAGGTGCTTGAAATGCAGGCACAGTGCGAGGGTCTCGAGAAGGAGCGCGACTTTTACTTTGCCAAATTGCGCTCGATCGAGCTCATCGTCGGTGACCGCATCAACTTTGAGCACATTGACCCCGAGGAGCGGGATACGCTTGCCAAGATCCAAGAGGTGCTGTACCAGACCGAGGACGGCTTTGAGGTGGGTCTGGCGCGGGTCGGCTACGTGCTCACACCAGGTGCCAAACGAAGAGTTTGAGGGCGAGTTGGACGACGAGGAGACGTTTTAAATGCGGGGATTCGCCTCCCGCTGCACGACATGCCGATTATTGTAATGCCTAGAACGGTAGTGAGCGTATGGACATACATGCGCGAGTGGGGAAAGAGAGGGATTTAGGAGTGGGGCGGGATCAGAGCCGGAAAGTCGAACCCAAAATTCAAGCTGGCGATTGTGTTGTTGTGAAATCACAACAAATCATGACCCAGCTCGAAGCCGCGCAGGGCATGCTCGCCTGGCTCGTCCAGGAGGGTGGCTACGTGCACCCCAACGTCGAAGCGCGCCAAGGTGCGTAGGTGCTCTTTACCCCCTCACCGCAGACGCCACGGGCCTAGGGCTGTACGCCACATCGCCGATTGCGCGCGACGAGCGCCTCATCTCCTGCCCCTCCAGCCTGGCCGTGACGCCCGCCCTCGCGCGCGCAGCCATAGCAGACGTCTGCGGCGTCACCCCCGCGGACCTCGTGCACGCCGGCGCGCCGTGGCCCGAACGCATGCTCGCCGCCGTCTACGTGGGCCTGCACGCGCTCCACGCCGACGAGTGAGCTACACGCGAACGCGCTGACGCAGATGGCCACAGGCGCTCAAGCACCGCGCGTATACCGCGACGCTGCGCGCGCCGCCCACCCCACATTTGTGGACGGACGCCGAGCGCGCCTTGTTGGCCGGCACGAACCTGGCCGGCGCGGTGGAGACGCAGGCGCGCGAGTGGCGCGCCGAGGCCGAGACCGTGCGCGAGGTGCTCAAGGAAGAGGGGTTTACATGGTGCGCCCTCCACTCCCCTCCCCCCCCCCCCCCCCCCCCCCCCCCTGCGCTGACAGCAGGGAGCTGTACGCGGCGCTGAACGCGCACGTATCGTCACGCGCCTTCCCGAGCGCCTTGCTCCGCCTTCCTTCGGGCTCGGAGACGAGCGCCGCCTCCACCCCCGTTGAAGAAAGCCACCCCGTCCTCCTCCCCGGCTTGGACCTTCTGAACCGTGCGTGCCCCTGCGTGCCCCTGCGTGCCCCACGACCCCGCTGACAGCAGATAAGCGCGGACAAGCTATCACATGGCTGTCGGCCAAGATCGCCGGCGCAGCCGCCGACGTCCCGGCCATCTCGTTCGTCTCGCCCGGCCAGCCCCCGGGCCAAGTGTACAACAACTATGGCGCGCGCGGCAACGAGTCCCTCCTCCTCGGATACGGGTTCGTGCTCGCCCCTAGCCCGGACACCCCGGAGGGGAACCCAGACGACACACTCGTGCTGCAGCTCGGCGGGATGAATCCTGAGATTGTTGCGGCGCTCGAGAAACAGGGGATACAGGCTGGACAGCGGTTCGAGGTTCGCCGCGACGGCGTGCTCCCCCAGGACCTTGTGCGCACGGTGCGCGTCATGATGGCCGATAGTGCGTGTGCGTGTTGCGGCGGCGACGGGCATGAGCATGGTGACGAGGACGCGCATGAGCATGAGCATGGGCACAACCACGACGACCACGACGACGAAGACGAGCACGCGGCGCACGAGAAAGAGGTCGCCGAGCTCGAGCTCGAGCTCGACGTGCTCGGCATGCTCGGCAGCATGCTCGAGGACAAGCTCAGCCGGCTCGAGGACGAGCCTGAAGCCGCGGCCGCGGCGCGGCCCGAGATCGCCCGCATGGCGCGCATCTACCGGCAAGGTACGGATTCCGCGTTCGCGCGTCGCTAACCCCAGGCCAAGTGGCGATCGCGGAGGCGGCGCTCACGCAGCTCGCGGAGCGCGTGGAGCGCGTCGAGACACTCCTCGCCGACGGGCCTACCTGCCCGTGCGGGTGCTAGACTATGCATGTGCTAAGTGTATCCGCCGCCCTTCTTCTCCTGCGCATGCCCGCCAGCGTTGGTGAGCTCGCGCGCCATCTGCGCCACGAGGCTGCCGATGTCAGTCGCGACGCTGGCCATGTCGAAGCCTTGCGCGAGACGCGCGCGCGCCGTCTCGCCGTTCCCGCAGAAGATGGCCGCGACCTTGCCGTTATCGTGTGCGGCTTTAAGCACGCGCGCGATCGCGGCATTATGCTCGTCGCCGCCGAACTCGACGTTCATCGACTTGGAGAGGTCGTACGGGCCTGCCGTCAGCGTGTTCGGCGCTAACACACCTATGAAAAGCACATCGAGGCCCTCGACGCGCGCGATCTCTTCGACGTTCTCCACGCCCGCCCGGCTCTCAATCTGCACCATGACGAGCAACGCGTCGTCCGCTTCCGCGGCGTACGCGCCCTCCCCAATCCCAAAGCTCGCACCAGCATACATCGGCCCGAAGCCGCGCGTGCCGCGCGGCGGATACTTGTTCCACGCGACGACGGCGCGCGCGTCCGCCGCGCTGTGGCACATGGGCGTCATGATGCCGTGCGCGCCCGCGTCCAGCGCGCGCTTGACCAGCGCCTCGTCCGCGACGGGGATGCGCACGACCGGCGTCGCGCCGTACTGCGCCACCGCGTTCACCAGCTCGTAGTAGTCGCGCTCGGCGATTTGGCCGTGCTCCCCGTCGATCAGGACCCAGTTGAAGCCGCGGACGGAGGAGAGGATCGAGCGCACGACCGAGGGCCCAGGGAAGCTGGCGTCAGCGAGCGAGCGAGCCGCGAAGCAGCGGCGCCAGACAGCGGCGCCAGACAGCGGCGCCAGACAGCGGCGCCAGGCTAACCGCAGCGAGCGCAGCGCCGCGCCGACCTCACCGCACACTCACGTCAGCCAGAAGCCCATGCCCTTCTCGCCGTTCTTGAGCGCATTCTTGAGCGTCATACGCGCCTGCATTGTCTGTGCCATGTTAGATGAGTGGAAGAACACGCTGAAGCGTGCGTGCGCGCATGCTTTTGTGGCCTGTAGCCCACCTCGCCGCCGGCATAATGTCGGCCCGGCACCGGAGTTGGCCGGCTCGACGCGGCTATGGCGGGCCTTTTGGCGAGAGTTTGTGACGCCGAGTCGTGGCTGACACTGTATACACAGCCAAGATCATCTACACAGCATCACCAACCACGCCACCCCCGCTTCTTGACCTATGCATTGTGCAGTACAATTGTATGAAGGGGGAGTGTGAGCCATGCAATGCAGGATATGCAGTGTTGTGAAAGGTTGATTCTTCTATACGCTGTGGATGGCGGGGTGATGGCGCAATGGGAGCAACGAAGTGGCCACACGGGCCACGCGGACACACTCGACACGACAAAGACGTCTTCAGCCTGACGGCTCCCGATTCGGAGCGCGTCCAAGGTCGTGGAAAAGCGGTGGGCGTCAAGCCGCCGATCGGCGCCATCCTCTGATACACGAGCGACAATCACCACCGCCGCTCGCGCTTGTCCTCGAGCTTGAGCTGCTGCCGCTTGCGGCGGTGGAACATGATGAGGCTCACGACACGCCCATACTTGCGATTCAAACGCGCGAGCATCAGGCGCGGGCTCATGCGCTTCGGCGACCCATCGGGCTCGCGCACAACAACGGAATCGCCGAACTCGCGCAGGCGCACCTCTTCCTCCTCGCCCTCGCCTTCACCTTCGCTCCCGAGCCCCACCCACGCGCGGTACGCCTTCTGGTCCTCGAGCTGGCGGTACGCGTGGTCGAGCACAGCGAGGGTCGCGACACTCGGGCGCCACAGCACGTCGCTGGGCCGCCACTGCCGCAGAATGCTCAGGTCTACCGGCGCGTCGTTCTCCAAGAGCTGCGGCGGCACGTCGGGGTGGTACTGGTGCCGCCTGTTCGGTGGGCGGTGCGCGGGCTCCGCGACGTCGCTTGTCGTCCGCACCGTGTTTGCCTCGCCTGCGGCCTCGACTTCGGCTACGGCCACAGCGTCGTCGCGAGGCGCCAGCTCGTCGAACACGTCGTCGCCATCTTGGATGTCGACGGCGACGTCCGCCGGCGTCGTGTCCGCCTCGACGGCGAGCAGCTGCCCGTCCGCCGCGCGCATCGCCACGTTGTATCGCTCCTTGACTTCGGCGTAGCGCGGCATCAGCACGCGGTCGACGATGTGGAATGCGCCCTCGACGTCGCCGGTCTTGGCGAGCGCCACGGCGTAGTGGTTGTAGTTTTGCGAGTCGCGGCCGAACCCCGCGCGCCGCATGTCCGTCCACAACTTCTTCAGGCGGTCGTGCAGCCCCGCGTCGCCAAACGCACGGATCACGACTGAGAACGGGATGGTGAGCACGTTGTTGCGGGCCCGCGTCCGTTGCCCGTCCGGCAACAGGCCAGGCTGGCCTGGATGCGGTGGGATGACTTTGCATGCCTGCCCGAACAGCTTGAGCCACAGGCGGTAGAGAGGTCGTAGCTGCCCGGCCGCGCGGTACGCTACCATGAGCTTGGCGGTGAGCGAGCGCGAGTGGCCGCCATTCTCGGCAATCAAGTCGTAGTAGTGCTTCGCCTGCGTGAGGTCGCCGGTGCGTACAGACGCGACGAGGAGGGGCGTAAAGACATTCTCCATCGCCTTGCCGCGCGCGTGTGTCCGCTCGCCAGGCCGGATCTGGCCGTAGACCGACATGGCAAAGTTGTGTGCTTGCTTGAAACTCGACTCGCCTGGCGCGCGCGCAAACGAACTCGTGATGACACCGTACGTCACACTCGTCGGTACGAGGTCGCGCGCGATCATCGTGTCGTATACGGCGCGAGCTGACTCGCGGTCGCCCATGCGCAGGTACGCCGCCAACAGGATTGACAGGACGTACACGTTCGGCGGCGGGGCCAGGCTGTCCAGCTTGGTCGCTGCGTCCATCTCGACAAACAGCGCACGCGCCAGTACCATGTTGTCGTTGTCGGCTGCCGACTGGATTACAAGCGCCCACGCTTGTACTGGTGGCTGCGGGATGGAGCGGAAGAGGCGTAGAACAGGCTCGAGAGGCGCAGCGCCAATGACATACGCCTTCAGCAAGGTTGTGAGAATGTCCGAATCCTCGGACATCTCGAGCGGGATCCCCTCAGCGAGCCTGGCTGCTTCCTGCCAAGCGCCTGCTTCGACGTAGGCGTTGAGGAGCGCGGACCAGGCGACGGCATCTGGCTCAATCCCGCTCGCCGTCATCGAGTTGAAGACATTCTGCGCATTGATGTGGTCGGCGGCGTTGGCGAACACGGATATCAAGGATGTGTATGTTTCGAGTGTCGGCATGAGGCGCAACTCCATAATGCGCCCGAACACCGAGATGGCAGCCTCGGTCTTGCCCTGTTGCGCATACAGCCGCAACTGCCTCTCAAATGGCTTGAGCGTGGGCTCGATCTTGGCGATGCGCTCGAGATACTCGAGGGCGAGGTCGGCGTCCTCAGCGAGTATGGCCGCGCGCTGCAGTAAACTCAGCGCCTCCAAGCTGTCCTGTGGCGTCCCAAGCTGTTGCAGCGCCTGTTTCGCGGCATCAACTTGTCCGTTGATGGCAAACGCCGTTGCCACGGCTAAGCGATCGCTCCGTGTCGGCCGGTGACGAAGGTTGATCTCGTCCCATACCTTGAGCGACTCGGTGGGCTTGCCCTCGTTTGCGTAGATCCAGAGCTCGCGCGACAGCGCGTTATGTGGGAGAACGCCGCCTCTTTCGCGGAGGACGGAGATGACGTGGTGCGCGGAAGCATAGAATTCCTGATCCGCGAGATTCGCCGCCAGCTTGGACGCAATGCTGTGGGGCACGTACATCGCGTCGTCCTTGAGCGTGAGCCGGCGCCAGAACGTGAACGCCTTAATGCATTGTGGGGCGTCGGCAACGAGGCCCGCCAGGATGACCTTGGCAGTGGCATCGACTTGTGTCCGATCGCCCTCGCCCAACGCGCCGTACTGGGCGCTGATCCATGCCCATGGGTCGCTCATCTGCTGAAAAGCCGCCTGGAACGCCGACCGGACGCGTACGCTAGACGCGCTGTTTTCAAAGTTGCCCTCCACAGAGGTGAGGAGCTTGCGTAGCATCTTTCCCCCGTTGAGAGCGACTTGTGCGGCGTCCTGTAATCGCCCGGCTGCAAGCACAGTGGTGATGTACTGCTCGATGATCTGTGATGGATATTCGGGGTATCGGTCGATTGCGCCTCTTTCATCGCCCATGGTCTTGAAGATGGCCGAAGCCATGAGCTCCGCGGCGTCCTCAAAGTCACCAAGTTTGGCCTTGACGAGCGCGCGCAAATGCCGCAGCAGCGCCCGAGTGCCAGGGAGCTCGCTGAAGTCAACGGGCGCGTCGCGGCAGGCCTGGAGCCTCGCATTGAGCCACTGCCAGTCCGCATCAGTCGTCCCGCGCGAGGTGAAGATGCCGGCTACAGCACACAACCGCATGTAGGGCAGCAGCAACGTCGGGGACACTTTGAGCTCGTCGAAGCGCGCGCGAAACGCCGCCGCCGTCATGGAGGCACCGCTGCGGCGGCTGTCGCGAAACAGCTCACGGTGAGTGTCTGGTTCGAGCCACGCCCACGTTGGCATGGGCGGCGCCATCGCTGGTCGTGGCGGCCGCATTTTGCGCGGGGTATGCACGATCGCCGTGCCGTCGTCGATCCTGCCGAGTGCGCCGGCGTCATGTCCGGTGCGTTGCGCCGAAGTCTGCCATTAGCCGAGTCATAGTATGAGGGGGGGAGCAACCCACATGTGTGTGCCGCAAGCGCGGGCCTCGCCCTGCGTCGAGGTACGCCCGGCCGACGAGACGGAGGACGTGGGCGACGGTCGAGGGCGCGAGGCGCGCCATGGCGATGGCCTGGGGTGACGGGCAGGCCATCGCCGGGATCTGGTAGCTGGAGCAGGCTAGTGCCGGGATATGCGCATGGCCCGGCCTAGGCCTGAGTCGCGGGGGGTGTGGGTCGAGAGCGGCGTCGCGGGGGCGCCGATAGATGCGATGCGGCAGAGGGTGGTGGGGCTGGCGAAGACGGTGGCTGAGATGCGTGAGCTCGAGTACCGGAGTAGAGGTCTTTGTCGGAAAATCGCGATGCATCAATCCCAGGCCGCGTAATTTGATTCCGTCGCCCTACGACGCTGGGTCGCCTTTGTCTTTGTGGCTGAAGTGGGGCACTTCGTCCAAGCGGAATGCATGCATAAGGCGTGTTGGCAGGGCAGGATGGGTATCGTAGAGCAGCGAGAGGAGATTGACTTGGTGATGCTAGTGAACATGGTCCTCGCCGTTGTCACCAAAGTCATTCATCGTCTGCACTATCAGTGGTGTCTTCATCTGGTCATCTGGGTGTTGCTGATATTGGGTCCCTTTGCGATTCGTTCATGATTCAAGCGCGTCACAGCTCCTACTGTACTTGCACTCGCCATCCTAATATTGATCCGCCCTGCCCGTACTCGCTGGCAACGCTTTGTCATGTCTCCACGTACGCGGCGTCTGCTGAGCGCACGCCGACCGACAGAGGCTATCGGAGCTGTTCGTAGAAGAGAGAACAACGCACAAACGATGACATCCAATTCCGAACCCTCCAGGCACAGATCCAAGAACGTAATCCCACGTGGTTTCCGCGCTGGTCCCACGCGCCTGGCCTTGCTTAAATGAGCCCCAATTTCAACCCTCTGGGTGGCAAGAACGATCATCAGCAATTGACAGCGATTAACAGTCACCAAACGCTCTCGCACTCACCCCATCCGCCTCTCACCACCCCACCATGTCGCTCGCAGATACGCTGCTAGCCGACTTTGACGGGCTGTCGGACGACGAGCCGGCGCCGCAGGCGTCGTCGTCGAGCTCGGCGCGCCCGCAGAAGCGCAGCCTTGCCGACGACTTGGGCGACGACCTCGACGCCGACGGCGACCTCAAAATGGAGGACGGGAGCAGCGCCGTCGGATTCGTGCCGGAAGGCGGCGTGCGGCCGGCCGAAGAGCTCGACGCAGACGAGGTCGAAGCGACAGACCTCGCGGCCATCGCGGACGTGAGCAAGGTCGCCAAGCTGATGAGCGGCACGAAACTCAAAGAGGTGTTGGAGGTATGTCGCGTCGCGTTTCTTCGCCCGCGCCTGCTCCCGCTGACAAGCAGGATATTGGGCGGTATACGGCCAAGCCGACGGACATGTCGAGCAGCACGGGCGGCCCGTTGGAGGAGAATCCAGAGTACCACCTGGTCGTGACGGCGAACAACCTGAGCGTCGAGGTCGACAACGAGATGTTGCTGGTACAAAAGTTTATCCGGGACCACTACGGGCCGCGGTTTCCCGAGCTCGAGACGCTCATCACCGACCCATGGACGTACATTGCCGCGGTAGAGGCCATCGCGAACACGGACGACCTGACCAAGGCGCCGCTGCCCGCCTCCCTCCCGCCCGCAACGATCCTCTCCATCACGCTGACGGCGACGTCGTCGCGCGGGCGCAAGCTCGAGCCGGCCGAGTGGGCGACGGTACAGCGCGCGATCGTCGTCGCCGGCGAGCTCCGCGCCGCGCGCGAAACAATCTTCAACTACGTCGAGAGCCGGATGAGTGCGGTCGCGCCCAACATCTCCGCGATCGTCGGCACGGGCATTGCCGCCAAGCTCCTGGGCCTCGCGGGCGGCTTGAACGCCTTCTCGCGCGCGCCCGCTTGCAACATCATGCTGTATGGCGCGGTGAAGAAGAGCCTTGCGTCGTCGCACCTCGCGACGAGCACGCAGCTCCGGCACACCGGCTTCATCTACCAGTCGGCGCTGGTGCAGGGCGCGCAGCCCGAGGACCGGCGGCGCGCGCAGCGCGCCGTGAGCAACAAAGTGTCGTTGGCGGCGCGGATCGACGCGGGCAAGAGCTCGCGCGACGGCGCGTTCGGCCGCAAAATGCATGCCGAGCTCGCGAAGCGGATCGAGAAAATGGCAGAGCCGCCCCCCTCCAAGCTCACAAAGGCGCTGCCGATCCCGCAGGAGACGGCGCGCAAGAAGCGCGGCGGAAAGCGCGCGCGCAAGCTCAAAGAGGAGTATGCGACCACAGAGCTCAGCAAGCTCCGCAACCGCATGGAGTTTGGCAAGGCCGAGGAGGAGACGCTCGTCGACGACGAGTTTGTGGGCCAGGGCATGATCGGCGCCCAGGGCAAGGTGCGCGGTCTCGTCGCCGACAGCAAGAGCCGAGCAAAGATGAGTCGCGCCAATCGCTTGCGTACCCAGTTGCTCGGACGCGCCGCTGCGAGCGCCGATGCCGGGTCCGGCACATCGACGTCGCTCAGCTTTACGCCTGTGCAGGGCATCGAGATTGTCACGCCCTCACTCAGTGCAGCGCAAAAGGTGCAGGCCGCCAACGATCGCTGGTTTGCCGGCGGCACCTTTACACACGTCCCTCAGAAGAAGAGCACAATCCCGGGCCAGATGCCGCCACCGCCGCCCCCATCGGCAAAAAAGTAGACAGCGTCTGGTGCAGTCAGTCACCACAGCGAGATAGAGCGAGGGGAGGGATGAAGAGTTAGTATGTAGCATGTGCGCAAGTGCTGTGGCACGAGCAGCGAGCTATGCCTCTGGACCGTCGGTCAGTGCCACATGCCACACCGAGCTCCCCTTGTCCACTGCCCACAGGCCCACAGCCCAACAGCCCCGCGCCTACCGATGCATGACTGCGGTATAGTCGATCGACCCCGACCGAGTGATGATGACGGAACGGTTACTATATACAATGTTGATGCCGGACAAAGCCCGGCGCTACTGAATGCCTTTGGTCGCTATGATTATGCAGTCGCCTCACTGCTGTTAGCTCGACTAGGCCTTGCTGTCTGTCAACTTACACCTTGGCGTCAGTCTTGGTGTCAGCCTTGACCTCGGCCTTGGTGTCCGCCTTGGCGTCCGCCTTGACGTCCGTCTTCGAGTTGCGCTGGGCCATCTCGTTGTCGATCTCCTCGAGTGCCTTCATCTCCTGCGCGACCTTTGCAGTAATCTTACGGTCCTGAACCTCCATACCATTGACCTTCTCGACAGCGGAAACTTGCTGGGCCTCGTCTTCGAGAACAACGAAGCCAAAGCCCTTTGAACCGCGGAACGCACGGCGCCCCGGGAGCTTGCGAATACCCTTGATAACGTGCGCCGACTTGACCTTGATCGAGAGATTAGTGAAAATCTCGCTAAGACCATCGTCATCAACAGTGAAGGGAAGGTTGGCCACAAAGACCGTGTTCTGATGTGTCAGCGGAACCGTGTGTTGATCTTGCAAACTTACCTTGCTGAACTCGCCGGTCAGCACAAGACGAGGCTTGCGCTCCTTGGGCTCCTTGTCCGCGGCATCACCGTTCTCGGCCTTGGCCTTGGGCTCCTTGGCCTTCTTGGGCGGCTTGGAAGGCTTGGCCGGGGTGTCGACGGCCTCGGCCTCGTCGTCGACAGCGGTCTCGTCGCCGTCCTCGGGGCGACGACGGCGAGACTGTGAGGGTGTCAACTTTGAAACATACAATGGCAAGACGGAACTTGCCTTTGAGGCCGCGGCCTTCTTCTTCTTCTGAGGCTTGTCGGCTCTGGTGGCCGACTTCTCGCCGTCCACTGCAGGAGTGTCGGCCGCCTCCTTCTCCTCCTTGACCTCCTTGGCCTTGGCCACCTTGGCAGCCTTGGCCTCCTTGCGCTTCTCGAGGAGCGCCGTGCGACGCTCAGCATTCTCCTCCTTGGAGCGCGCAAGCTGGAGGTGAACCTGACGGCCACCGATCTCTGGTGGGGTGTCAGCTTGGACGCACGGGGGGGACTTGGATGAGACGTGCAGAAGCAAAGATAGAGAATGGATTGTTGGTGCGCGATGGAAGATGCTGGATGAATGGATGATGATTGGAGGAGGAAGGTGCGCGAGTGAAGTGGAGTGGAGTGGAGGAGCGAGGCTATACATACCCGTCTCGTTGAGGGCCTCGACGACCTTGGTGGCGTCGGCCTCGTTCTTGTACGTGACGAAGGCGTAACCGGCGGGACGGTTCTTGTAACGGGTAGGAAGAATCACCGAAGTGCTGTGAATGTGAGCACAGTTTCTTCACGAGAGAGGGAAGGCTTACATCTCGCCGCCGACCTTGGCGAGGTGCTCGCGGATCTGCTCCTCAGTGGCCTGGAGAGGGTTAGCGGGAGGGTGTTTGGATCGATGCGCGCCAGAGGTGACGCGACGAGACGCGACGAGACACGGTTGAAAGCGCGCTTCAACAGTGCAGTACGTACCGAGAAAGCAAGGTTACCGATGTAGACCTGTAGGACGCGTCAGTATTGCATGCATACAGCTCGCTTGGGTGATCGATTGGGGAGTGGCCCGACCCCGTGGCTTGGGGGAATGTAGCCCGTGCGGCATCGCACGACCCCGGAGAGCCTGTGCGAAATGCCGGGGACGTGGCCAACGAGCCGGGAATGAGGAGCGAGGAAGGAAGGGAGGGAGACTAGAGACTTACGCGGTGGCCCTCGTAGTCCTCGGTTGAGTCAGTCGCGGTGGCGGCGGCAGGGGCAGCAGCGGCCTGGGCAGTCGCCGAGGTAGTAGCGGGAGCCGGAGCGGCGTTGGGGGCGGCGGCGGCGGGAGAGGCGGCGTTGGCGGCAGACATTGTTTGGTTGCGATGTGGGACGAGGTTGGTAGTCGCGTGCGAAGCGATGTAGGTCGAGCGTGCGTTGTGGATGCTTGATGGGGGGTAGTCGTTGAGCACGCAGCAGCGGCGGG